CAACGAGACCGACGCGAACGTAGTGGTCATTATCGCGGGCAACCCCAAGGGAATCTATTCGGCCCACCACGAGAAGTTGGTCCTTATCGACGCTGAGTGCCCGCCGCACACCGTGGCATTCACCGGGGTACGCGCGCATGTCCCTCGCTGGGCGTCCACCACCCGTTCTTGACATTCTTTGACACGCCACACAACACGCCACACAACACACACACACACACAACCAGGGATTCGACATTGCGAGGGGAAGGTATGATCAGCCGCTGCACCAACTTCCCCGACCCTACTGGGAGGACCTCAACCCGATGACACCCTCCACCGAGGACCAAATGATCTACGGCCACGAGGTCCAGCCGCTGTTGCGCCGCATTCGCATTCTGTGGCACGATATACAGGTACCCACCACTATCATCAACACGCTGACACCTCGAAGGGCTCATCATCACACAACACTACGCCGACGTGGCATTCAATTCAACAGTTGATGATCAAGGGTCCGGCAGCCCAGCACTTCCAGCTGCATTTTGCCCAGCGGTGGAGTTACGCCTTCACCCACGATCCCTCCAAAACACGAAACCTCACCCACTACATTCCGCATACGGTACCGACCCCCCTCCCCCGCCGAAGAAGCCAACGTTGCGCTGCTCAACTCAAAGACTCAAGCCATCTATTCTTCCAGAGAAAGGCCTGCAAGCATAGGCCGCAGGCCAGCTACTCCATGCGCTATGGCAGCTGCCCCATTCGTCTCACGCGAATATGGAACGGCGTGTTTGAAGGGTACGCCGACCGTCATCCACTTCCTCCGCGTGTTGGCGACTTGTGAAGTGCTCACCTCCAGGCGTGCTTGCTTGTCTCTGCGCGCAGACATTTCTTGTTTGACGAGTACAGCAAGATGATCACGGGCGCCAAGAAGTTCATCTACTTTGAGCACCAGTACCCGTTCCAGAACTTTGCCCTCACCTACTACATGTGCCAGGTACGTTGCTGCCTGTGGCCACACATCTCCTATGCCCCACAGGCCATAACGAGAATGACAACTTATCATGCGCGCACTATTTGTGCACACGAATCGGATGTCCAGGCTCTGCGCAACAACCCGTCACTGCTGGTTATCATTGTGGCGCCGGTGAAGACGGATCTTCCGCGGGGCATCGTCGGTGAGTGGATTGATTGGTCACAGGACCAGAGTACGCAACCTCTCTCTCTCTCTCTCGCTGTGCGTGCGTGCGTGCGGAGCCCCTCAGACTGACGCTTCACTACTGATTTGTGCAGTCGTTGAGCACCTCCACCTCATCCACCGGGTTGCGCCAGATCGCGTGGGCCTCTACGGTTTGGTTCGACAAGACGACCGAACCGAACGAAGTACGCCGCCGCCGCCGCTAGCCGTGAGCTGTCATCGTTATTGATTGTCCCTCAGTACTGACCTAAGGTTTCTGATGTGATCGCGACGACGCAGTAAAACCGATCTACGTGCACGCCAAGCTGGCCATCGTAGACGACGAGTGCATACTGACGGGGACCACCAACATGGACAACATGAGCTTCTTCTACTCGTCGGAGCTGTCGGTCACCGTCGCCCACCCGGCCTTGGCCAAGGGCACGCGCGTGCGGCTGCTCAAGGAGCACCTGGGCTCCTTCTACCGCCCGGCCATGGCTGAGACCGACCACTTCGGCCAGGTGTTCGACACCTTCCGCGACGTGGCCTCGCGCAACAGCGCCAGCCTGCGGGCCAACGGCACCCTGGTCGGGCGGCCCGTGTCGATGGCCCCCGACAACTACCAGTTCCTCCTCAACCGGGTCTACTACCCCAACAAGCTCTCCAAGTTCCTCTCCAAGACCGTCGGCTGGGACACCGAGGACATGCTCGTCAAGCTCCGCAGCCGACTCTTCTCCACCACCAAGCCTGAACACCACCGCGGCAGGCCGGGCACCAAGCCCGGGAGTGGACCTCCACCACGCAGCACCGACCGACACCCAAAGCTCAAGGCCCAACTCTAGCGCGCTCAACTCTTCGCCCCCAACGGTCACAGTCGCTTGATCACACAAACACCACACACACACACACCCCAGGTGCTGGAAAACCTCGCTTCGATCACCAGCCATCATCAGCTGAGAATACACTTGTACCATCTGCCCTCCTTCGCTCTCGATCCTTGTCGGCTCCCTCCTCCCTCGTTCTCCGCCACCGCCTTCTTCTTCAGCTGCTGCAGCTGCTGCTGGCGAGTGGGCGAGGTGCCGCTGCCACCGTCGCCGTCGCCGCCTTCGTGCTGCTGCTGGGCGGGCGGAGGCAAATGCGGAATCTTCCTCGCCTTGCCCTCTTCGTTGGGCTCCCGCTGGTCGCTGGGCGTCGAGGCGTGGTGCTCCGCCGCTGGCGCACCACCGCCGCCTTCAGGTTCCTGCTGCGCGGCGGCTGGTGGCGTTCTCGGGGCGTCGGGTGGTGGGTGTGGGTTGCGTCTGGCGGCGGGCGGCGTGTTGGCGAGGGCGGCCTTGCGCCGCTCCATCTCGCCGAAGAAGTTGAGCATCATGCTCACGAACTGTTCGTCGCTGAGCTCCTCCTTCGGTCCTCCGCCGTCTCCGCCGCCGCTGCTCCACCTGCCTGCCTCGCGTGGTTGTGGTACCTCGTCGCCTCCTCCTTCCCACGGCCTTCCCTCCTCACCTTCACCTTCTGCTTCTTCGGTCTGCAGTTCGACCTTGAGCTTCATGGCGCCCTCCTTCACCTTGAAGCCGTACACGATGCGCGACCTGCGATAGGGGTGCACCGTCAACGGTGACCCGGCTCCCTCGTCGCCTACGTCGCCCGCCGCATCCGCGGTGGTGCTGGTGCTGCCACCGCCGAGTCCCGCCTCGTGGGAGGCCCGCCGGCCCAGGCTCATCAGCCGCCTGGCCGCCAGCGCGTGGGTCAGGTGCGTCTTCGGCTCGCCCGTCTCTCCATCCGTAGGCGTGCCCGCGCGCAGCCAAACGTTCTTCTCCTCCAGGGCGCTGCCCGGCTGATGAGACGGCACCGGCGGCCGGCCCGTAGGCGAAGCGCCGTGGCTGACCGATAACGTCACGCTGCGGACGTCGGCGGCCACGTCGGTGGTGGTGCGTGAGGGCAGGGCCGAGGGTCCGCTGTGGTTGCCGTCGGCGAAGGGGCCGCCGTGCTGCTGGTCGTCAGCCGGCTCGGCGATGACGTGCTGCAGCCTGATGATCTCCCGGAGGTCGACCACGAAGCGCTGCACCACGCCCTTGAACCCCCGCTCCAGCGCCTCAGCTTCGGCCACAGGCTGCTGCTGCTGGGCTGCCTGGATGATGCCCGCGCCCTGCAGGATCAGCTCCTTCATGCGGCGCAGCAGGCCCTCGCTCAGCGCCCGCTGCTGCTGTCGCTCGGCGCAGTTAAGGTGGCTGTCGTGCTGTGGTGTGGTGGTGTTGGCAAAGGAGTCGAACACGCGTTCGAGGCAATCGGACAGCCGGCGGAGAGAGGAGACCAGGAGCGCGCTGGGTTCGGTGTCGGTGGTGGTGGAGAGCAGGCGGCCCACGCATTCGAGGGTGTGGCGCACGGTGCGGCTCATCTCGTGGGCCAACTCGTTCAGGTGCGCGAGGCGGGTCCTCTCAGCGACCCTCCTGGCCAGGTCTCCGTGCTCCGCCATGGTGGTGCGCCCACACAACTTTTGTTACAAATCTCGAGTACCTTGATTTGTCGTTCTTCGTCTTTTGGTTCGTTGCCCGGTGCCTGCTGTCCCCGTTGGTGTGTCGTGTGCAGCCTCCACCAGTAAAAATGAAGTCTGGACAAATTAAAAGGGAATGACTCCAAAATTAAAAGTCAATTTTTTCCAGGAAAGAGAACAACACAAAAAGCTGGGAAAGATGAAATTCCGTTTTTTTAGTGAAGCAAATAAACGCGAGGGAAAAGAGAGATCTGCCAGAAACTGAAGCGAAGAAGGTTGGGTAACGTGGGCGCAGAGGAAGAGGAGGAAGACGCGAGTGCCGGCATCTTCCCAAAACGCAGCACAAAAACCATGCAGGCACGGGGCAACAACGCAATCTCCCAGTTCGTGGCCGTGACCGGCGCAGATGAGGACACTGCCAAGTACTACCTCGAAGCCAACGGCTATGACCTCGAGGTCTCCCCCTTTTCTTTTTTTCTTTTTCTTCCCTTCTGGGCTGCTGCTCACTCGGCCTCCATCACAAACACAGAAAGCGACAGTTCTGTTCTTCGACTCTGGTGGAGTACGTCACCCCCCCCCGAACGTCGTGCTGGAATTATATTAATATTCAATTTTTAATCTCTTTTTATTATCATTGTGGTCCTGGCCAGGCGGCGGCGGTGCAGAGTGGCGGAGCGGGAGCGGCGCCGAAGAAGGACGCAGAGGACACGGGAGCGAAGAACGTGGGGCTCGAGTTCGACGCGCAGGCCTACGGCGAGCAGCTGCAGCGCACGTTCGCGGTGCTGCTCGACGAGTCGGATCCGCACGCGCACGCCTTCAGCGACGTGACGCTCGTCGTCCACGGCGAGAAGGTGCCGGCGCACCGCGTGATCCTGAGCGCGTGGAGCCCGGTGTTGCGGGACTACCTCCTGGCCAACGCCGACAAGCGGGAGGTGGAGCTGCAGCTGCCCCACCAGGAGCTCAGCGTCCCCGTCTTCAAGCAAGTGCTGCGCTTCATCTACACCGGCTGCACCGAGCTCTCCAAGGAAATCGCCATTCCTCTGCTGGTGCGCACCACTTCTGCTTCCCGCGGCTTACTGCTTGCTCTCAACCTTCGTTCTTTCTCTCTCTCTCTCTCTTTCGTTCTTTGTTGTTTCGGGTGTGTAGGAGCTCTCCAATCAGCTGCAGGTGCAGAGCCTCAAAGACAAGACGAGCGAGTTCATCTTCGTCGCCGAGCAGAAGAAAGACATCGGCCACCTACTGGAGCTCGCCCGGAAGTACGAGTCCAAGCACCTCGAGAAACGATGCGCGGCCCACCTGGGTAAGTCGGACATGTCACTGCGTTGCCTGCTTGACCCCTAAGGTGGCACTCACGTGTTGTTGTTGTTGTTGTTGTTGTTGTTGTTGTTGTTGTGTGGCGCAGCCGATCGATTTGAGGACTGCCTGCGGGACGACAGCCTCAACAGCCTGCCCGTGAGCACGTGGAGCGAACTGCTGCTGCGAGACGACATCCGGGTGTCCAACGAGGAGGACGTCTTCAAGGCCGTCATCAAATACGCCCAGACCAACCCCGTCACCAAGGACGACACCCTCAAGGCCCTCCTGCCCCTCGTCAGGTCCGGCCTCACCCACCCACCACAGCCACCCGCTCGCCATCATGTATTGGTGTTGACTGGGCCGTGTTTACGTTTCGAATTCCTTGGTTTTGTTGGTCTCTTCTCCACGCGCAGGTTCGAGCTGCTCCCGAACCGGTTCCTGGTGGAGGAGGTGGACCTCAACCCGGAGCTGAAGGAGTTGGCGTTCGTGCACGCGCTGGTCCACGAGGCCTACCGCCAGAAGCTCTACCAACAGACCGGCGGCGCACCGCCGACCGCCCGGCGTGCGGGCCGCGGCAAGGGCCGAGGCGTCGCCGGCGGGGTGTGGAGCAGCGCGCTCATGTCGCCCGGCATCGAGGTGCTTGAAGGCGGCAAGACGGTGCGGCACACGGGCGCGGGCAAGGGCACGACGCAGTCGTGGCAGTCGGTGGCCCTCGACTCGTGGCTCTCGTCGGGCACCCACGTCTACACCTTCAAGATCGACAAGAACGCCTCGAACTGGCTCTTCATCGGCGTCGCCGCGCGGTCGTGGGAGGGCTACACCGATACCTCGAACGGCTACGTGGGCCACTACCACGACAGCTGGGGCTTCGGCTCCTACACGGGCTGGGGCCGCGCCCACGCCAGCAAGAACTCGGCCTTCGGTACGACTACGCGTGTGTCGTGTGTACTGTCGCCTTCACGTGTCTGACGCAGTGAATGGTCGGGCGTGCAGGTCCGAGTTTCAAGACGGGCGATGTGGTGCAGATGACGGTGAACATGGACCTCAAGACGGTGGCCTACTCGGTCAACGACGAAAATCTGGGCGTGTGCCACAAGAACATCGCGGACGAGGTCTGCCCCGCGGTCACGTTGTACAAGAAGGGTGATCAGATCACCCTCCAGGCTTGAGCATTGCTCTTCATGTCCGAAGAAGAAGAAGAAGAAGCAGAAGAAGAAGAAGGACCAGAATTTGGGTTCCACCATTCTGATCGCAAAGCCCGACAAAGCCGCCGCTACAGCGGGTTGCCCAACCGGAACGTGCGAGTGTGGACCAACCGGCACGCAGTTGGGTGGCATAATGTAAAGTGCAAGGCCCACATACGATAGTAGTGAGCGACAGAAGGAAGAAGGAAGAATGCTAGCGGCCCGGGAGTACTTGTGTTGCCTCCTCTTCGCGCTCTTCTTGGCCCCGCTGCCCGGCGATTCGGCCGCCTGCACTTCGGGCAACCTCTTGGACTCCACCGCAATGTCCGCGTCGCAGCCTGGCGTTTCAGTCCCCAGCCTGCCCATCATGATCAAGGCCCTCGATTCACTGACCATCAGCTTCATCCACGTCTTTGTCATCGACAACGACCGTACGTCAGCCCTCGAGTAGTTCTAGATTAGTTGTATTTCTTTGTTCCTACCCAACTCCGAGTGCATTTTCGTTTCGCTCTCTCTCGTCATCAGAGTCCGCTGTGCCGGGTGTGGCCTCGCTCCACGATGACGCTAACGGCAAGCCGTCGGGGACGCCCTTCTACTCCTCCACCAACGGCCGGGCGGTGAGCGCCACCGAGTACCAGATCGACATGGGCAACACCAACCTGAACCCCGGCGTCTACTGGCTGGTCTTCACCGCGGTCCAGCCGGGCGGCGTGATGGCGGGCTGGACCTGGTCGGCCTGGGGCGGTGTGGACTACTTCCACTCGCTGAGCTTCGCCGACAGCTACTCTCTGAGTGATCTCGTACCGAGGGTCGTGATCAGGGGCTGCGGCACCAACCTCGCCGGAGTCTCGCCTGCACCCTCCTCTCCAGCTTCTCCTCCCTCCCCTCCGTCCTCCCCTTCGCCCTCTCCTCCGCCCTCTCCTCCGCCCTCCCCTCCTGCTTCTCCTCCGCCCTCCCCTCCGCCCTCCCCTCCTGCCTTCTCCTCCGCCCTCCCCTCCGCCCTCCCCTCCGCCCTCCCCTCCTGCTTCTCCTCCGCCCTCTCCTCCGCCGTCGTCTGCCGTGTCACCGCCCAGGTCGCCAAGCGCCTCGTCAGTACCGACGAGGTCGCCATCGGCATCGGTGACGCCATCGGCTTCGCCTTCGCGGACTGCGTACGTTTCGTATTCACCGTCGGCCTCTGCCTCAGTCGCGCCCTCAAGCTTTCCTCAGCTGGCGGCCTTGACCAACGCCACGGCCGAGTTCGAGCAGAAGCAGGCCGCATTCCAGCTTTCGGGCACTTTCGGTACCGCGCTCCTGCGAGCAGGCCTCACACAGTAGCAACTTCGTCGCTTACCATTGCAACAGGGAACAATGATCGGTCACAGCACTTGGCATCATCAGTGCAGTCGCGACTAAGCAGCCTGCATCTGGGCAACACCACGCTCCTTGCAGCCGACCTCTCTGGTACGTGCTATTGTTAAATGGCCCACAGGTCTGGCACGGCTAACTTGTGGTGCAATCCACAGAGAACATGACCCGCGAGATTGTCCCCGATCAAGGAGAAGCAGCGCCCAGTACCTACATCTACTCGGTCCGCCTCGACGACGGCACCCAACTGCACCAGTCCTTTGCCTTCTACAAGCGAGAAACCAACTCCACTTTCGCAGGCGTCGACTTTGCCATTCCAGCCAACTCCGTCAAGTGGTCACTCAACTTCACTTCCAACTCCTCCTCGCTGGCTTCGCGCACCACCCAGCCGACCACCGTGCGCTACCGCCTCAACAGCGCCGGGCTTGCGCCTGCGTCGAACGCGCGCATCGTCAGTCGCGCCAACACCCCCGCCGCGGGACTCACCACCTACTTCCTGCCTCTCAACTCCGACCCTGCACAGCCTATCGTGGCGACGGTGGTGCTCTTCGACCTGGCCGTCGTGGACGGCGTGGTGACCACCATCCGCCACAACATCACCGGCACGATGGCGGGTGAGTACGAGGTGGCGGTGGAGCTGCCGGCCTTCACAGCGTGGGTGCACTACGACCCCAGTGTGGGCATGGGCGCGCTCCTGGGCTCCGATGGCGGAGGAGGCGGCAGCGACAACACGGGCCTGATCATCGGCGTGGCCGTGGCCGTCCCGGTGGCTGTGGCGGTGGTCGTGGTAGCGATTGCGGCCGGTGTGGCGTTCGCCTGGTACAAGCGGCGCTCGCTGTGGGTGGAGAGCACCGTCAACTTTTCCGACACAGTCCACGAACAACTTGATGGCGCTGGTGAGTTGTGACCAACCAACCACCGGGCAATGCAGCCACGCCAATAAACTGCTCAACTTGATTTCAGACCCTGCATTCACACGAAGCAGGACCGAACAGCCAAGCAATGTTTCCCAGTATGCACATCCCACACCTAGTTTCGCCCCTGGTCACCAACACAATTGTCGGTGGAGAGAAGGCCGAAGCAGCCAACGGTGACGGTGACGGTGACGGTGACGGTGACGGTGACGGTGACGGTGACGGTGACGGTGACGAGCAGTGGCATAGTTTATGGATACGGCCATACTGCGCAGAAAGCACCGCTTCCCATCCGAACAGCGAAGTTAAGCTGCGCCAGGCGATGTTAGTACTGGGGTGGGCGACCACCCGGGAATCCACCGTGCCGTATTCTCCTTTTTGCTCCACCTCGCTCTACTGTTGCCTCCCTACATGCCGTCGTTGATGTTCACCTTCCGCTCCTCGCCTCTTTGGCCGGTCTTCTGTGCGCTTCCGTTTGTGGCTGTACATCGATGTATCGTCAGTCTGCACGTGCGAGTGACGAGGTGTGTTAACCAAGTGGTGTGGTGGTGATTAGAAACTGGGCAAAAAACGCGCCTTGGGCTGCTTTTCCCACAGCGACACGCTGTAGTCTTGTCCGCCGGCCACAAATGCCTTGGTGGATGGGCTGTCGAGGCACAGCAGCGGCGCCGCGTGCGGCCATTTGGCCCCGCACGTCCAGTCGCGCGGGTCCCACACCCTGCGCGTGTGTACATTAGCTGGCAGAACCAACCGCCTCTTAAGCTGCGTACCGCACGCAGTTGTCGCCATCAGTGCTCGCCAGGAGCTTGGTGCCGTCGTAGCACGAGCTACGAACCGCATTGGCGCTCGCCAGGTTGCGCAGCAATGCAGCAGGCTGGCCGTCGTGTCGTTCTCCCTGTTCCCCCCAAACAGCCCCACATATAGCTCGCCGTGAGCGTGTGTGCAACCACAGGCGAGCGAGCGTTTGCTGAAGCGAACTAGGCGTACCACTTTGCGGAGGTCCCACACGAGGAGCTCGCCTTTCGGCGCCCGGGAGGAGGTCACGGCCACAGTGTCCCGGACGCTGACCGCAGTGATGGCGGCAGAATGGCCGGTCAGCTTGGCCGGCAACACGGAGCGTGGAACGCGCGGGTCGCACAGCTTGACCACCGCGTCGGCGCCGCCGCTGGCCAGCAGGTGGCCGGGCTCGTCGGTCGCGAGGGCTGTTATGGCGCCATCGTGGCCGGAGAGGATCGAGACCGCGGGCGCCTTCATAGAAGCGGCCGCCTCTGTGACGCTGTAAACGAAGACCAGGCCGTGCGAGCCGCCCGTGTAGAGGGTGTCATCGCGAAGCTGCAGGGTAAGGACCTGGCCCGCGTGCGGTAGAGCATTTGTGGTGCCGCTCTCAAGATTGTACAATCTGCTCACGTGCGGGATGCCATTGTTGAGTGAAAAACTGGTCAACAAGGAGAGCTGATGTGACAGTCGGTGGTCGGAGGGCGATGTACTGGAGGGTGCGGTCGAGAGAGCCGCTGACCATGGCGCGCGTGCGCAGGTCGTAGCGGAGGCACGTGATGGCGGCTTTGTGTTTCGCAAAGGTGTAGCGGCACTCGCCCGTTCCCCGCTCCCACACTTTGAGGCGGCCATCGAGTGCGCCACTGACGACGTAGCGCGGAAGAAGCTGTACAGCCCGCACTGACCCTGCCCGGCACATCATTAGGCAACACATTTAAAAAAGAAAGGGGGGGGGTTGGTGCACCTTGATGGCCTTCAAGCCGTCGCTGCCGCCACCGCCCCCGAGAAGCGTTGTGCCACTTGTCGGCTGCCCACCCTCGCAAGCACTGCCATCGCCAGTCCACCGCCGCAATAGCCGGCCCAGCAGCGGCGGCGGTGGCGCTTGCAGGCGGTACATCTGTGGCAGGAGGGAAGCGCGAGTGGTGCAGGCGACGCCAGAGGGGCTGATGTGAGAAGAGGGCGCGGAAGGCCCGGTTGACGTGGGCCAGCCGAAGCCACTCCCTGGGACCCAGATGCATCGCCACTTCCACCATCACCTCCGGCGGAAGGCTGGCCATGCATCTCTTCCCCTGCCTCTGGTCCATGTGTTTTTGCTTTTTGTTTTTCTTCTCTTTTTCCTTTTGTTTCCTTTAACATCCGGAGGAATAAAAGGATTTTTATTCTTCTCATTCATCCACTTCTCCGGGGAAGCCGAAGGTCTGGTCGTCCAACCAGCCATTGAGGCAGTGGGCGAAGACCTCCTCCGCCGGGTCGTCGTGGAACCACGCGGTCGGTTTGTGTCCGTCCTACCGTAGGGTGCAGCAACCAACCAATTCCAGTGAGGCGCCCACACACACACGAAAAGCAGCAATGTGAGCGGGAGTGTACGAAAAAGTTCCCCTGGGCGGTGCCACGCAGACCGTCGTACCGCGTGGCAGGTCCCAGGATGCACACTGCCAGCACCGTGGCCATACGCACTCGCCGCTCGGTGTCTGCCGGCAGTGCGGTTCGCACTGGTTCCTGGTTGTCATGATCGGCCGGGATCCCGACCAAGCGCGCGAGTTCATCGAAGAATGTAGGGTCGATGCTCCCCGGTAGGTCGAGGTCGTCACTTTTATACTTCACCACCATGTTGTCCTCGCCACACCACAGCCCAAACCTTGGAACGCCGACACGGCCAAGAAACAGCATTAGCTCCTGGGAATCACATCACATGCGCGGAGGAGGAGCATTACCGTTCGCTGACCGCCGGAGAATCGGTTCGGGCCATCAGATCGACAAAAACCTCGACTTCCGAGTGCGCGTCTCGGCGCATAATAACAGTCATCTTACAGTCAATGCGCAGGCTCTCTACGAGCGGAACACATACCGTAAGGCACAAAAAAAGGAGGCGCACAAAGAAGGGCGCCTACCTGAGGGTGTCTCAGTGCTCAGGCGGGCACTACCCCAGGCGCATAATGCTCCGTCGTACTTGTTGCTGGCCACCATTGTCGCAGTCGCTGTTGCAGAGAGTGGTAAGGAGTCGCCTGCGTTTCATCAAGCACAGCATGAGGTGGTCATCGTGTTCCAGTGCCTAGAGTGATGCGGGGAAGTACGCGCTGGATGTCAGCAAAGGCAACGAAGTCTAATTCCGATCCTACGCGTACAATGCACGGCTTCTGCAAGTGAAACTGCATCCTTTGCACTGCCTCCAAAACGTTAACGAAATGTGCCCACAGAAACGTGTGCGTGTGCGTACCTGCGCGCAGAAGTCCTTTGAGCGTAGCAGCCGAGCAACGGTCGATCGAACCTAGGAAGTGGTTGTCCTCGCCCTCAAGCCTCTCCCAGACCTTTGCCAGCGAGGGAAACTCGTCCTCGTCCATCGCAGTGCTGTACAAATGCGTAAGTTGTTGTGCCAGGAAACCGTCAGAGCCTTCGAGCGCTTGCAAAGTAAGGGATGAGCTACGTACGATGTCATCTCTGAGGGCTCAAGAGAAGACACCTCATGACATCCAGCGCAATCCAGCAGAAAGCGCGCAACGCTGCACGGAGGCGGAGTTCAGTTACTGCCATTACAAGGGAGATGCGTTGCTTGCCCCGTACTTCTCTGGTGACCAGTCAGAGACACCCAGCGCATGCGACAATTAGGTCAACAGCGGTGTGTTAATGCTATGATATGTTAACTCATCTGTTGTTGTAGGCACTCGGTGCATATAGAGAAGAGAAGAGAGAGAGAGAGAAAGAGAGAGCCACATAAGATTAAATGCACTCGCAAGTTTCGCGAGCGCGCAAGTGGGCGGTACCCTTGCAGCGCCACTGGTAGAGATGCATGCAGCCCTTGTCTGTTGCGCAATCAATCCATTGCTTGACGCTTCCGTAGTAGTCCTCGCCTCCCTTGTGCAGCTATTCTCGCAATTGCAGGACCAGTTCTCAGTTTCCTGCTGGATGCAGTACTCGTACCACATGCAGTGTCCATCCAGTGGTGGGACGGTCACGCTCCGCAGGAACGCAGAGTTCGAGAAGGCAGGCAACGTTTATAATACCGTCGTCCACGAACCTGGTGTGAGCCTTCACTCTCACACACTGTTGCCCCCAAACAAAAAAAGTCGTGTGAGCGCAACTACCTCCAGTGATATGGATGTGGCGTACCTTCTTGACGAGCGAAACGATGGTGGCGATCATATCCATCCCCCGGTCCTCGTGCGCCTCCGCCTTGCTGTCGTAGCCGATGAACATTCTGAGGGTCCTTTCGGCTCTGCGCCAGTACGCGGGCTTCTGGATGGCAAGTTGGTGCAAGCGCGCTTCGATCCGCAGCCTCCACGCCTGCTGACGCTCGAGCTCTTGCTTGACTTTGTCGTTGGCGCGTTCATCAGCAACGTCCTCTCCTTCGCCATCGCCATCGCCATCGCCATCGCCATCGCCATCGCCATCGCCATCGCCATCGCCATCGCCATCGCCATCGCCATCGCCATCGCCATCGCCATCGCCATCGCCATCGCCATCGCCATCGCCATCGCCATCGCCATCGCCATCGCCAGCATCGTCACCATCTTCCTCACTCTTCCTCACCCTCTTCATTACTATGCCCTACACCGCCGTCTTCTCCGGTGATGGGCTCAAGGTCCATGGCAGCATCACCGGAAGGAGGAGTGAGCACGTCACGTTTCAGCAGCTCGACTTCGTCCGGGCCGAGAGGCTCAACGCAGTCGTCGACGTCGTCCTCTTCACACCCGAGCTCGTCCTCATCCTCAGCAACCACAGGCGGCACTCTGGTGGCGAAGTCGCGCTTTGGACGGCTTTGAACCAGTCCCAATACATCGCTGCCACATACCCACACCAGGCGATGAGTCGACACAGCCAAAAACGGATAGGACCACCACGAAGAGCAGCAACGTTGCGTACGTACCATGAAAGGGCGAGGTGACGCGATCAGGCGGAAGCGCCCAGCACACGTGGAAGGAGCACGGTCAGTGCGAGCCGCAGCGGGCGGTGGTCACGCAGCACGAGCGTCTGGCAGGCGTGATCGACCTGCCCTAGAGCACAGGCGTCCATGCATTGGAGCGAAAGAAAAAGAACGGGGGGGGGAAGGTACGAGATTATTTGGTCGAGGACCAGGTCGGGCAGTGCCGTAAGCTGAAGCGCGTGCGCCGGGTCCCTCCGGTGGCCGTCCCCCATCGTGCTGTCTAGAGCGTCATAGCGGAGTCGCTTGAGGGGGCGCACCGGTTCTTGCTCCGCCGCCATTTTGTCTGAATAATTGCCATCCACATTTTTGCCTCTCTGCTTCCTCGAAGGAATTGGTTTGTTTTTTTAACCTTTTCTTTTTGTTTAAGACAAAGAAACAGTGCGCCAATGGGAGCGTTCCTTGCGGCACAAGGGTTTCTTCTCGCTGGCCAAGAGACATTTACCAACGATGGTACGACCTGCCAAGATGCTGTGCTCCACCGCCGACTCACCTGGTCCAGGTTGATTGGCGTTGTTTATTAACCCCAGCGCAGGCGGCTTTTGATGTGTCTGCGCGCAGCAAGCAGCTGCAGGAGCGTGTGCGTGCCTTCATGGAGGCGCACGTGTACCCCAACGAGCACAAGATCCACGAGGAGATGAACCAGCCGCGCCTACCATGGACGCCCAGCCCCACTCTCGAAGCCATCAAACAAAAGGCCAAGGTGGGTCACCAGCGCTTCCCACCAACATTTTATTTATTTATTTGGTATTTTTATTTATTTCTATCTTATTCTGGGCGCAGAGCGAGGGGTTGTGGAACCTGTTCTTGCCAGAGTCCCAGTACGGTGCGGGCCTGACCAACCTCGAGTACGCCCCGCTGTGCGAGATCATGGGGCGCAGCTTCTTCGCGCCCGAGGTCTTCAACTGCAGCGCGCCAGACACGGTGCCGGCCCAACGCCCTGTCTCCTTGCGAGGTTTGTTGTTCGTTCATGCAGCTCACCCACTTGGTTTGCACGTGCCAACAGGGAAACATGGAAGTGCTGGTGAGGTATGGCTCGGCTGAGCAGAAACAGAGATGGCTGGTGCCGCTCCTGAATGGTGAGATCCGCAGCGGCTTCGCTATGACCGAGCCTGATACGGTATGCGAAAAGAAAGAGACTCTCTTGCGCATTCTGAACGCAGTGTACACGTAACAAACACTGCAAACCCGCTCCCCTCTATACTACAGGCTTCATCGGACGCCACCAACATCTCGACGCTGATCAAGAGGGACGGAGATTCCTACGTGATCAACGGCAAGAAGTGGTGGACTTCTGGCGCTGGCGATCCCCGCTGCAAGCTCTTGATTGTGATGGTACATATATGTGTATCTGTGCCGCTTGCTTGGTGCTTGGTGTCCCCGCCAATCTCCAGTCAGCGAGAGTACTCACGCATGTCCCTACCGTAGGGCAAGACCGACACCTCGGCGCCCACGCACCAGCAGCAATCAATGATTGTCGTGCCTATGGACACTCCAGGTACGATCTCTCTTTCGCAACGGCCTTGGGCCAGATGTGCCTGGATGTGGCCACCTCACAGCGCTCCAACAGGTGTCAAGGTTCAGCGTTTCCTTCCGGTGTACGGCTACAACGATGCCCCGCACGGCCACATGGAAATCCACTACGAGGTGCGTCGCCTCTGGATGTCTAAAGCTGTGTGACGCGCATTCTAACCTTCGTATTTGTGGTGGGCAGAACGTGCGCGTGCCTGCTAGCAACATCCTGCTGGGCGAGGGCCGCGGATTTGAAATCGCCCAGGGGCGGCTCGGCCCTGGCCGCATTCACCACTGCATGCGAACGATCGGTACCTAGTTCGCACTGAGACATACGCATGAGCACCCCTACTAAGGGTCAAGAACTCTCCACCGAGCAGGCATGGCGGAGCGCTGCTTGGAGCTGATGGTGGCCAGAGTCACCTCGCGCACTGCCTTCGGTAAGCTGCTGGCGCAACAGGGATCCATTCTGCAAGACATCGCCCTCTCTCGCACCGAAATCGAGCAGTCCCGCCTGTTGACCCTCAAGGCCGCCCACATGTGCGTCCCTAGCATATATGCCTTCCGCATCTCGGTCTGTAGCTTTGCGCTAACCCGTGCTTGGCGTTTAGGATGGACACGGTGGGCAACAAGGCAGCCAGGGACTACATTGCGATGATCAAGGTGGTGGCCCCGAGCATGGCTCTCCGCGTGATCGATCGCGCTGTGCAGGCCCACGGCGCTGCCGGTATGCTGGCCTGCTCCTTCACTGCCTGCCCTGAGCATAATTTCCTTTCCTTACATCGCCGCCGTGGACAGGCGTCAGCGAGGACTTCATTCTGGCGCGGGCCTGGGCCAATATTCGTACCCTTCGCATAGCCGGTATGCCATGACGTCCCCTCATTCCTCAGTCCTGCGTTCCACTGCTTAGCAGTGATTCTCACCAACGCGTTGGTTGACAGATGGACCGGATGAAGTGCACCTGCGCACGATCGGGCAGCTGGAGCTGAAGAAGAAGGGCAAGGCCAGGTTGTAGCTGTAGCTGTACCTCGCTCCATGCGACAACGCACAACAATGGCTTAACGTGTCCTCGTCCTGTAATCACACGACACGCGTGTGGGTACCACGCCCCATTGCCCTCCCCCCCTTCAAACAGGTCTGGTGTCGGGAATTCTCGCACCGCTTTGGGCGGGATCTGCAGGAGTGGTCGGACCTTCTGCGGAAGGCGCGCGCTGTCCAGCGCAGCACCGGGAGGGGAGGGCGAGCAGGTGTGTTCGATTCTTAGACAATATTCTAGCACCCACACGCACATAGATGGAACGCTTACCAAGCACAGAGAGCTCCTCCAACCGGCCAAAGCTACCCAGTACGTATTGTACCACACAGCTTCACTCTCACCCTTCTTTGCGACCCCCGTTCTCATCATCGCGTGATCGCCGAAGAGGACTTCCCTGCCCTCGCCGAGCCAGGCCAAAGCAGGGTAGGTTCCCTCCTTTCTTCACGCAGTGTTTCTGGTTGAGGGCTGATCACCTTTGCGACCGTAACAACAAAAGGTGCAATTGCTACGGCAGCGCTTCGAGCAACAGGCAGCAGCAGCCCAGCAGGACTCTTCGGCCGCACGCCCACGGTCCGGCGGCTGGCCGGATGACTTCAAGCGCGTGGACGTGCGCTCCCTGCGTCAGCGCCTCTTCGCCGAGCCAGACTTCGAAGACTCTCGAGGTCGGCGTCCCACCGCACCACACCAACAGGCGGTCGTCTATCCCCTCGAAGAAGAGCAGCCACAGCGACAGATGGCCACCTGGGAGGAGCGTCCACCAGAACCGCCCCCGAGGGAGGAGCCAGAGGAGGTGCTCGAGGCAGATGAGGAGAAGCGCCATCCGCCAGCACCGCCCCCGCGAGAGGAAGACGACACGGAGGAAGCAGCACAGCACGTGTCCGACGCCGAGCTGTCGTCGCTCGCGCAGACCCTCAAGGCGCTGGGCTTGGGCTCAGGCTCGCCACCAGCCGCCCATCGGCAGCCCACGCCAGGCCGCGCACATTGACCCATCAACGAAGAGAAGAAGAAGAGAAGAGGAAGAAACGTCGCGAATACCCTTCGAGAAGTGTCGACACCACGACGCACATGTCGACAATGCGTCATCCTGCGCTATCGGCTGTTGTTGTTGCACGCGCAGATTGTAATCTCCCTACAGATCGCTCACATCTCCCCTCTCTTGCACACTTGATCGATTGGCACAAGATTTCATATGGAGGGCAGCACGACGACAAGCACCACGGTGGCGACACCTGCGGAGAAGAAGGTGGTGCATCTTGAGATGAGCAGCGCGAGGGATGCGCTGAAGGCGCTGGCGGAGGGCATCCCGCTGGGGGCGCCCGCGTCGCGTGTGCGAGAGGAGGGCCGCGACGAGTCGGTGCCCCACGCCCCCGTGCGCACCCCCCACCTGAGCGAGGCCGAACGCAGGCGGGCCATCGCCAACGCCCTCCGCTACTTCCCGACCGAGCTCCACGCCTCCCTGGCCCCCGAGTTCGCCCAGGAGCTGGCCGACTTCGGTCACATCTACATGTACCGCTTCCGCCCCACCGCCTACGCCATGCGGGCCTACCCCATCGACTACTACCCCGCCAAGTGCCAGCAGGGTACCACTACTACATGACAACTTCTCTAACCTCGTTCTAGGCGCACTCACACTCACATGGCGTGTTCTCATTGTGACACAAGCTGCGGCCATTATGATGATGATCATGAACAACCTGGACCCGGCGGTGGCGCAGTTCCCGCACGAGCTCATCACCTACGGCGGCAATGGCGCCGTGTTCCAGCACTGGTTCGCCTCGGCCGCCGCTTTCGTGGCATGGTCAGCCGCGCGGGCCTTGGCCTAAGGGACTCACAACGCCTGTTGTGGCCGTGCAGGGGTCAGTACCACTTGGTCATGAAGTACCTGTCGGAGATGACCGACGAGCAGACGCTGGTCATGTACTCTGGCCACCCGCTCGGGTACGCTGCAGCTGTCACTCGCCAATCCCCGATGATGGTGCTCACGCGCGCGCTGGTGTGGTCGTGAGCAGGCTCTTCCCCAGCACCAAGGATTCGCCGCGCGTGGTGATCACCAACGGCATGGTGATCCCCAACTACTCCTCCAAGGACCTCTACGAGAAGATGCACGCACAGGGTGTCACCATGTACGGCCAAATGACCGCCGGCAGCTACTGCTGTACGTTTCCTCTTTCGTTCTTCTTCTGCATCCTTTCATTCTCCGCCTTGGCGTGTCTCACGAGCTCGCCGCATGTTCTTTCCACGCTCGCAGACATCGGTCCGCAAGGCATTGTGCACGGCACGACCATCACCCTCCTCAACGCCGGCAGGAAGTACCTCTCCACGTCCGACCTGGCCGGCAAGGTGCGCTCAGCTCAGAGCTCCTGTTTGTGGTGCACAAGCCTTGACTACTGGCCTTGTGCTGACAATGATGGCTCTGCTCTATGACCGTCACCACCAGGTCTTTGTCACGGCTGGACTTGGCGGCATGAGCGGCGCGCAGCCCAAGGCTGCCGTGATTTGCGGCGCCATCGGCGTTGTGGCCGAAATCTCTCGTACGACACCACACACACACACACACACACACGCACCGCGTGTCTGGCTCTTGCCTCGAGTTACTGATACCGCCGACCCCCCCCCGTACATCAGCCGCGGCCACCAAGAAGCGACACGAACAGGGGTGGGTGATGGAGGTCTACACCTCCCTAGACGACGTGATCGCGCGCATCAAGAAGGCCAAGCAGGCCAAGGAGACCCTCAGCATGGCCTACCAGGTTGGGCCAAAGTCCACCACCAGCGCCTCCAACTCCCGTTTCTGTTACTAAATCAACGTTGGCGTCATTCTGCAGGGCAACGTGGTCGACTTGTGGGAGCGGCTGGCGCAGGAGGACGAGATGCTTGTCGTACGCTCACCTCTCTCGAGTTGTGTGTAGCGTTGCGTTGTACGTCGTGTGCCGTGTGCCGTGTGGCCATACGCTGATTGTGGACGGCTTTCTGTGCACACTCCAGGAGCTGGGCAGTGACCAGACGTCCCTCCACAATCCCTACAGCGGAGGCTACTACCCGGCGGGCCTTTCGTTCGACGAGGCCAACGAGATGATGTTCAAGGATCCCGCCAAGTTCAAGTACGCTCTCTCCACAGGCGCCTTCGCTAGAATTACCATCAATTGATCGCCGAAACCGCCACATGCACGCAGGGAGATGGTGCATGAGAGCTTGAGGAGGCACGTGAAGGCCGTCAACAACCTGACCAGCCGCGGCATGCGATTCTGGGACTACGGCAACTCATTGTACGCTTCTTGCCCTCCCACCTTCTACCTACGTCCCCGGGACCCGGTACTAACCCTCACTCACGCGCCGCGCTGCCAGCTTGCTGGAGGCCAGCCGGGCGGGTGCGGACATCATGGCGGACGATGGGCTGGCGTTCCGGTACCCCTCCTACGTGCAGGACATCATGGGCGACATCTTCTCTCTCGGCTTCGGCCCGTTCCGCTGTACGCTGTCCCGCACCCCCGCTCTAATAATGATAATTATTAATAAGTCGTTGTGGTCCGCAGGGGTGTGCACGTCGGGCGAGGCTGAGGACTTGGCGACCACGGATCGTATCGCTACGGAGATCGTGGCCGGGCTGCGCGACTCGTCTCCCGAGAAGTCCAAGCAGCAGTACGAGGACAACTACCTGTGGATCACCCAGGCTGCCGATCACAAGCTGGTACCAGCGACCCCTACAGCAACTGCCTGAAGGCTTTCCCTGGCGACTCACATGCTCGCGGGTACGCTGGTGATGTGCTGTGAAGGTGGTTGGCTCTCAGGCTCGCATCCTCTACGTGGACGCCTTCGGCAGGGCGGCCATTGCCGAGGCCATCAATCAGGCTGTCAGGGATGGCCGTCTCAAGGCGCCCGTGGTCATCTCCCGTGACCACCACGACGTCAGGTAAATTACTCAAGTCTCTCGCTCGGCGCTTCGTTGGCACTGACCCGGTTCACCTAATTACTACTCTACAGCGGTACCGACAGCCCGTACAGGGAGACCTCCAACATCACCGACGGCTCCACCTTCACCGCGGACATGGCCGTGCAGGTAAAAAAACGCATTCCCGATCGGTGGGTTGGCACAGCCGTAACTCTTCTCACGCGTTCTGCACAGAACTTTGTGGGCGACGCCATGCGCGGCGCGACGTGGGTCTCCCTCCACAACGGTGGCGGCGTGGGCTGGGGTGAGGTCATGAACGGCGGCTTCGGTCTCGTCCTCGATGGGTATGGCCTACCGCCACAACTGAACACTTCCGCTCCCTCCTCTCCTCGGGCTTGATCCTCACAGCGTGGCCCTTTCTCTGCTCTTGTGGTCCGCTCCAGCTCTGATGACGCGTCGCGCCGGGCGCGTAACATGCTGTTCTGGGATGTCAACAACGGCATCGCCCGCCGCGCCTGGGGCACCAACGACAACGCCGTACGTGCATTGCACCCGCGACCACTTCTCCACCTGGCGCCCTACTAACGTTGTGGCGTCGGGGTGCGAACAGGAGCACGCCATCCGTCGCGCGATGGAGCTGACGCCCAACCTGAAGGTGACCCTGCCCTACCACGCCGACGAGGCCCTCATCGAGAAGGCCCTCGGCGGCGTCCAGCAGTAGGGGTAACCTTGCCAGCTATCAAACAAGAACAAGACGTCTTCCTTTTATTTGCTTCTTGTTCAGATGGTGCCGTAGAAGACTTCGGTGGTGTAGCGGAACTCGACAAGGCCGTTTTCGTTGTACTGGGCGAAGAGAGCCTCGAGCCGGCGCATGAGGGGTTCGTAGTTGGGGTGGTCCGGCTTGGGCGCGTAGGACGACGACAGGCAGCGGCCCTTCAAGCCCTCCAGGTCGAATCGCTGGTTGTTCTGGGCCACGTAGGCCGCCTTCTTGAGCTCGCCCTCGGCGAAGAACTTGGGCAGCACGGGGCTGCCCTTCTTAGAGACCCACCCGTGCGCCACCTTGAGGTAGTCGATGCAGTACTCGATCAGCGCGTCCTCGTACCCTCGCATCAGTTCCGTGCCTGGCAGTCCCACACACTCACACGACCCATACCATCATCACCAAAAGTAAGCGCAAGCACTTCAAAATCAGGTCGTAACGGGTCATCCGGCGTACGCACCGCTCTCGGCGTCGGAGCTAAAGTTGTTCCAGATGAGGAACACCTGGCTCTTGACGCCGCTGTCCTCCTTCTTCTTGAGGATGCGCTTGAATTCCACCTTGGCGGCGTCGTGGCTGAACCAGTGGAACGCCTGCCGGCCACCACCATCGCATCACCATTAGGGGGGTCGCGCAGGCTGCAGTGAAAGCGGCGCACTGCATGTACCTGGGCGGCGATGATGACGTCGACCGCGTGGTCGGCCAGGCCCGTCGCCTCGGACTTGCCGCCAAGGCTGGTCAGTCGGCCGCTGCTCAATTCAGCCGCGAGCGATGCCTCGGCCGCTGCGGCCAAGAGAGAGTTGAGCCGAACGCGTGCGAGAGCATAAAGGGGGAGGCGAGCAGTGTACCCTTGCGCATCTCGTCGTTGGGTTCGACGGCGACGACGCGGAAGCCCTGGTCGACGAGCATGCGAGTGAAGATGCCGGTGCCCGCACCGATGTCCGCGACGAGGTGGTCCGTGGTCACCCCCTCGCTGCGCAACAGTTCGAACACCTCGGGCGGGTAGGACGGCCGGTACCTGCACGAGTGGTGATTTGCGTGAGCACGACACGCAAATGGCATTAATAACGACAGATACGCACTTGACATAGTCCGAAACGACGTTGCTGAACCGCCCCACAGTGTCTTTTACGATCGCCGCCATCGTGAAGAGTAGAAAAAAAGATCCGATTCAAATGCTCCAATCTGTTTAATCGCGAACAGAAGTGCCACGTCGCCACCGACGGAGCACACTCCGATGGTTGTGCAACCACCACACCCGCAATTGGGCAGGTGCAACCTTTCTGAACACAAACAGAGCTAAGAGTCCGCCTTGGCCAGACACTTGGGGGTGGAGACGGTCTTCTTGCCTCTACGCTGCGAGCTGCGGCACCACATGATGAGATTCCACCGTTCGCCTCTGTCCAGCGGAGGGCACAGTGTCGTGAGTGAGAACAAGTCCGATGTGCGTGGTAGGGGATTCAAGGCCACAGGACGAGGAGGCGAGGAGTACGCACTCGCTGATCTTGAGGGCCGAGTGCCAGTGGCTGCCCAGGTGAAGCACGGCCACACCCGGCGAATGGCCGCAGGTGAAGTGGTCGTTCTTCGAGGTCGGTGTGTTGGCCACCCCGTTGAAATCAAGGTCGCCACCTAGAGCAAAATGGGGGTATGTGAGGGTGATGATCTTAGACGGGCCTGTTCTGTACACGCACGACCATACACTGTACCTGCGAAGGATTTGCCCAGGGACACGTTCAGCGTGACTTCGGAGTCGTCCACGTGCTCCTTCAGGTCGAGGTCCTCGCCGATCTTGTACTTGACCTGCCAATACCGCAATGAATGAGTGTTGTAATTGTGTGGTGGTGGGGTGGGGTGGTAGTGGGGGTATGCACGGTACCACGAAGCTGTGAAGCCGATCGAGGGAATCTCCGCCCTGTTCCGCGTACAGCAGGGTTGCAAGTGGGCAAACGTAGCGCCGCATGAGCTGGTGCATCATCTCCTTAAAGCCCACATCTGACAGAATGACTCCTGCTCACAGTGCAACGATACCACCTGGTGGGTGAATGCAAGAGCCCCCAAGCTGAAGAAGGAGAGTTGCGCACCGTATGCGTTCATCGAGTTGGGTCGCTTCAGCGACAGCCCGCTTTGTTCCAGGTGGTCCAGCTCTTCAAGCAGACGGCTGGTTCCATACCACTCTTAGCGCCGTTTCAAGGAGAGCCAGGGGTGTGGGCAGATTGTGGCGTACTCGCAAAAGGACAGCTTCAGCATGGGAAACGAGTAGATGCCGGGATGCACTTCCTCGAGTAGGGAGCGCAACGCTGCTTCGCTGCCGTCGTTGATCGCACGCAGGAAGCTGTCCTCAAACATGCTCTGATGATTACATAACAGCGCAATGACTCCAATTTGTCTGCAGTTGACCGATTCAATCAAATTGTTAGGTGGGGGTGGAGGGTGGGGGTACCTCGTGCAGGGTGTACACATCTGAATGCAACGGGCGATAGTTCTCGCGGATGTGTGCCCTGTAGTCGCGCTTCTCTTGTTTACGCACAAGCTCAATTCTGTTCCTCACCCCGTTGCGGTCCTCTACGTCGTTGGGTGGCACTTGCGCCACATGCTTGGGGACCCGCGAAAGCTGAATTAGGCCGCAAGTGTGACGTGGCTGAAGAGTGATGTGTACCTCAACAGTATCGGGTTTGAGCAGGCCAGCGACGTGCCAGTGCTTCTTGTTGACCGCGAGGTCGTATGCTGTGCGGCCGCTGTAATCCTTCAGCTCGGGGTCCACTCCGCCCTCGATGAGCAGTTGCACACACTCCACATAGCCCTGTGGGCGTGTGCCGATGGTTGTCAGCAAAGTGATGGCGCCATAGCCGGCTGAGATCTGAATGCGAACCTTCTCGGCAGCGAGGTGCAGTGCCGTGCGGCCTCCGACCATGACCATGGGAATGCTCCCGTTGAGGTAGTAGATGTTGTCTCGCGTAAGCGCGTTCACCGACGCCCCGCCCTGGCTCACAACCAACCAAGTAAGTGAGGCATTTCCCAATTCTGCGTCACCAAAGCGAGCACGCACCTTGATAAGTGTCTGGATCGTGTCTATGGCTTCCCATGTGACCGCATAGTGCAGCGCCGTATAACCTGCAACCGCCACCCAAGTCGTTGGCAGGAAGGTATCTGCACGGTTGAAGGCGGGTGCTGGGTACCGTCACGGTCGAGGGCATCTGGAAGAGCCCCCAGCTCAAGGAGACGAGCGGCCAAGAGGGGGAGGTCGGAGAGGGCGGCGACGTGCAGGAGCGGGTAGGCTCCCTTGCAGGTGCGCGTGTTCGGGTCCACAGTTTCCTCCTGCAGTAGTTCGAGGGCACGCTCCTCATCTCCCTCGTGCGCAGCTCTCACGATCTCCGGCTCCCCGTCCAGCACCGACGTCGAGCTGCTGCTGGCACAGGCCGGCACTGCCCCTGCCTCGTTGGTCGTGGTGCTGTCCATCGTGGCTGGTGTTTGGCTTGCAAACAGAAAAAAAATCAAGCTTTTATTTGGGCGGTGGTGGTGCAGTACTCAAATTCTGGCGCTTCTCGAGCTTGTGGAGTACGGCATTGCCAAAAATTCACAACAGCCGTGCGACGTGGCTTCGCCGAAGACAAAAGCGTTGGACCAAGGTTGACCAAGAAATGCGCAGGAAATCTCTTAGAAAATGCTGATCCGCAGATATGGTGGGATACAGAAGTAAAAATAAAGTAAAAAGAGCAGAGTCACATCGAAACTAAACATACACAACATGGACAGCAACGCGGATAACCAGAAGTACACAGTCATCTGCAGCGAGCGTGTTGTTATTGGGAACACCCTTGTTCCCGCCACCGTTCACTTTGAGTACCTTTACTCCTTTGCCCGTTGCGCATCTTCTCATCGGATGCAGAAAGAATCTCATCGCATAATTAATCTCTCTCTGAACAAACCGCAGAAATGGCGTAATCGTCAAAGTTGAAGACGGTACGGCCACAGCGCCACCAGAGGGCGCTGTATTCCACGATTTTGGCGACTTGGTCATCATGCCCGGTACGTGAGGCATCTGCAGGTTGAATAAAATTACGGGCGAACGGGACTGACGACAACCACAGGCGTTGTGGACAGCCATGTGCACATCAATGACCCTGGCCGCACGGCTTGGGAGGGCTTCCCCTCGGCCACGCAGGCTGCCGCTGCAGGAGGCGTCACCACGCTGGTCGACATGCCCCTCAACTGGTACTTCTCGCTTCCCCCCTTCTCGTGGCGCTGCAAGCGGTGTCGGTGAGCCATGCTCCACACGTCTCATCGCCGGCTCCGCGTGTAAACAGTTCCCCTGTGACGACTACCCTCGACGCGCTAAAGCTCAAGCAGGACCACTCCAAAGACAAGCTGTGGGTGGACGTAGGTAGAGTACACCACCTGCGCCTTCCCCTTTCCTTTCTCTTCGTTTCGCTCATCTGAACCTACGCAGCTTTGCTGGGCGGCATCGTTCCCAACAACGCGCAAGAAATCAGCCCGATGGTCCACGCTGGAGTCGTGGGGTTCAAGGCTTTCATGGTTCATTCTGGAATCGATGAGTTCCCGCACGTTGAGGAAGAGCACATTCGTGCCGCTATGAGCGAGCTCAAGAAGCTGCAAGATCAAGGTACCCTCCGCGCACCCTCAGCCACCCGCTTGCTTTTAGGAGTTGAGTGTCGTTGGCGGTGCATCGTGTGTTACGCCTCATTCATCTCTTCCCCACCACCACCACCACCACCACCACCACCATTTCTACCCGCAGGCCGAGATGTGGTGTTCATGTTTCACGCCGAAGTCGGAGGCCCCATCGACGAAGCCAACAAAAGCCTGAGCGAGCACTCTTGCTCCAGCTCCAAATACGAAACCTTCCTCCGTTCGCGCCCGAAGGAAGCCGAAAACGAAGCCATCGCGCTCGTTATTCGTCTGTGCCGCGAATATCGCGTGAGGTACTGACGCTCGCCCTCCCCCCCCCGGCCCAGTCATTGAATTCAGGTCATCGTCCAACTGACCCTGCCGCCACCGCTGCTTCACAAGGTGCCATATTGTGCATTTGTCCTCTTCCGACGCGGTGGCGATGCTGCGCGCCGCCAAGGAGGAGGGCTTGCCCATTACTGCCGAGACGACGTACCACTACTTGTACTTTTCTGCCGAGGACGTGCCCGACGGCAACACCCTGTTCAAGTGCTGCCCGCCCATTCGCGAAAAGAACAACCGAGACAAGCTCTGGTACGCACCAGCAGCGTTGTAGAAACTAGATACCCCCCCCCCCAACCCTGTGTAGCCTGTCTTGACATCTCACTCTCTGCCCCCTTCGTAGGCAAGCGCTGGAGGACGGCGTGATCACGCAGGTCATTTCCGACCACTCGCCCTGTACTACTGACCTGAAGCTGCTGGAAGATGGCGATTTCCTCAAGGTATTTGCAATGTGTTTCGGGGTCCATTGCTGAAGATGAACGACCACATCTGAACACCGCCACCCACCACTTCCAGGCTTGGGGAGGCATTTCGTCTCTGCAGCTGGGCATCAGTATCGTATGGACGCAGGCCAAGAAGCGTGGCTTCACCGTGCCTCAGCTGGCTCAGTGGATGTGCCTCCAAACCGGTACGCGAAGCCCTTCCCATCTTCCCACTGCGCCCAGTGCGCTTCCTCCGTCGCACTTATTGCTTATTCCTCTTCTTCTTCTTCAGCCGAGTTGGTCAAGTTGGACGCCAAGAAGGGGAGCATCGAGGTGGGCAAGGATGCCGACTTTGTCGTGTGGTGCCCCGAAGAGGAGTTCGTGGTGGAGGAGGACGCCCTCTTCATCCAGAACAAGAAGACCCCCTACCACGGCGAGAAGATGAGCGGCACTGTGAAGCGCACCTTCCTCCGCGGCCAGCTCATCTACCAGACCAACGTCGATTGCGCCCCCAGCACCGGCCCGCTCGGCCAGCTCGTCTTGCCCTCGAGCCCGTGACCATCCACCTGCAAGGCGGTCGCAACCGCTGGGGATTGGTGGAGGGCTTTTTGAATGTTGGTTGGCTCCTAATTTCTGCAAGTTTCTCTTATTTTCTTGCGTCCTGGGCGAAGCGAAGCCCAGACCCGATGTGGAACGAACTAAGAAATGAGAGGGGAGCGATGTCGCCCGCGCTGGCGGAGGGGAGCGCCGAGAGTAGAGGAGAAAGGGGGGGCGCGGGCTGGGAATTGAGAGATGACGGATATGTGAGAGATGGTAGTGGGGAGACCGAGGGCGATGAAGTGGGAAGTGCAGCGAGGGACTGCGAAGGGGTCATCTCCTCCTCGACCTCCATGGTATCGTCGCCCTCAGCCAGCTGTACCGCCGGGTTGGCGATCGCGAAGGCCCGAATTTTCTCGATGAGGTCCGCACGGCTCTTCTTCCCGATCTGAAGCCGGAGATGGGGCAGACGTTTCTTCCACTCGCGCAGGAAGGAGGCCATCGTCTCGTTGGTAAGTGGCAGCACCACCGCATGTCCGTAGTTCTGCATGATTCAGGCGACCTCCTCATCTTCTTGCTCGCGGGTGATGCGCCGCCGCGCCCTCTCAATGTCAGCGCACTTGCCTTCGAAGAAGTGCTCCGCCTTGCTGGCTTGCAGGTCGAGGTGCGTGGGTTCCCTTTTGATGTAGTCTCGCGCCTCTTGTGTGACCTGAAGATTGGTAAATTAGCTCAACATTGGTGTGCGTAGTAATGTGACTAGGTGCAGTACCTTGAAGTGCTCCTGATAGGTCTTAAAGTAGGAGCTGATGTTGGTGGCTTTGTGTGCTGTGATTAGCGCTGAGAGGAGGCTTGCCTGCAGAGCTGGCCCTTGTGACTTGAACTGCTGGTCCACATCAGAGAAGACCTGCTCCATGCTGTGGGTACTGGTCTGTATGTGGATGTGGTGGAGTGATGGTGTGGTGGTGTACTCACCACTGGGTAAGTACTTGGTGTTGTGTTTCTGCAGGGTGTTGAGAATGGAGGAGAGGTAGAGTGTCTTGTAGGTGTGGTGGTGTTTGATGAATGATGGACATGATGGTGTGGCATCCACAGGAAGCTGAGCAGAAGGGTGAAGTAAGGGGACTGCTTGTGCTGATGTGGGGGTGGTGAGTGTGCAGGGTAGTTGGAGGCAGCAGGTGAGAGAGTGAGTGAGAGTGTGTGATGTGAGCAGTGAGGATGTTGAGCTGCAAGAGTGTAGCTGAGCTGCCAGATCAGAGTGGGTGATGTGGTAGACAACAAGCCTGTGGTTGTTGTTGAAGAAGGTGTGGTGTGTGGCATCATTGGTGAGCAATGTTGACACTATGGTATGTAGCTTCCTGATGTGTTGAATGTACTTGCCAATTGTTGAGATTGTGGGTAACCCTTGCATGAATGGTCTGAGAAGGACCTGTGCAGAAAGAGGAAAAGGAATGGTCAGCCTGAGGAAGAGCTTTCCATGGTACCCACCCATACCTCCAAGCCAATTGCACTTATCTTGATCAGGTGCTTGATGTTGGGGTCCATGAGGGCTGTGAAGTCCAGCTGGTCTTTGTCTGTGGTTGTGAGGTCCAGCCCCCCATATTAGAGGTTCAGGTAATAGAACCTGGACAAGGAATAGGTGAGTGCCTCCCCTACTACTGATGGTGTGGCTGTACCATTGATAGGCATAGTGGGCCATTTGATTGGTGCTCACAAATTGTGTGTGTGTGACTTGGTCAGGTGCTGTTGGGTGTGCACCAAGGAGGTGGATGAATGTTGGCCAGTGGCCCTTCCATGCACCATTGACAAATTGCTGAGTGAGTTGCTTCATTGTTGCTGTGAACTGATTCAGGTAATGCTTTGTGTTGGGGGGTGGCAGAAGCTTCACCAGCCCCCATTCTTTTGCTCTCTGAGCCACCTGATGCTCCCATTGCTTTATGCACAGGGCTGCAATGTGGTCACTGCAGCCCTTCTTGAGCAGTGGTTTGTATTCTTGCCCCACCACCCTGGTGCTTTCCTTTTGTTGTTGATCTAACTCTGTGTGTATTCCATTCTTTGCACCATGATTGTCAGCTGTGTTATCAAAAGATATTGACTGGATTTGGTGAAGCTCTTTCTGGGGTATGCCCATCCTCTGTTGTTGCTGCTTGAGGTCTTGCCAGATGTTGTTGATGATCTTGGCTTGTTCTTTTCCCCCAGCTAGGTTGAGCACGCCAATGGTTGCCATCCAGTCTTTGCTGTTGAGCATGACACCAAAGTGAAGGGCTAGTAGAGAGTGAGATTGGCCTTTTGTTGTGCCATTGAGGGCAATGTTGATGTTCTGCAATAGCATGATTAGTTAAAACCCTGGACCCATGTTCACTGGGATTGTGTACCTGACTGTATGCCAACTTGTGTGCAATGGCATACTGCCAGCACATGAGAAACTCAATATTGAACTGCACCACAGAGTCTTTCTGTGGCAGTTCTTCTTGAGGCACATCCACACCTAGCAAGCATGCAAAGGTGTTGTGGATGGCTGGACCAACATGTTGCAACCCCATGTGCTGTTTACCACATAAAGTGGTCCCCAGCACATGCATGGAGGTTGAGAAGGATCCATTCTTCTCTTGGAAGGGCTTTTTCTTGATGGCTGGGAAGGGATGCTTCCCCCCAGCCCAAGACTGCACACTGGGCCTACTCCAATTAGCCATTTTTATTTAATCATTAGTAATAGGATACATACCTTGATTCTGATACTTTTGCCAATTTGTGCCCAACGTTGAGTGCTGCAGATTTTGATCTGTGATTAAAGATTGGAGCAGACCAGAGGCCTAGTGCTCCAACTTTTTGTTGATACCAGCACTGAGCATGCAGTGCTGCTTTTGCCCTCTTTGTGGCGCTGGATAGCTGATGCATCGATGATCACCACACTGTTGCTGACAAAGGGTTTTATTTAACAAGAGTTATGAGATGTCATTGACATGTCAATGACATCTCCACTGAATGTCATTCGATTTTCCTTTCACAGTGGCCTTGATGACAAATCTGACAGTTGCCTCGAAAAGTCATCAGCGAACATGGATTTCTTCTCTCCTTGAAATCTCTATCCCCTGCACCTGTCATTTTCTGTTTTCTCTGTTATCGCAGTGAAAACCAGCTAGCTTTTAGGCACCTTAGAAGAAACCAATCAAATATCAGAGAGGAGCTTAGAAGAAACCAATCGTATGCTGGCATGCAAGAGGTATTTTCCTTTCGGGGGGTGAAAAAAGGACCGTGGAAGGGCGAAATTTCGTGTTGCGACGCCCTACCACCTGCGGTGCGGCTGGCTTCGCCCGCGTCTCCCTCTGGCTGTGGGCGAACTTTCGAAGAGAAAAGAAATGTTTGTTTGGTGCCTGTAAAAATCCGGGAACGGAACCTCGTTGGCCATTATGGGACGGAAGGTGCTGTGCCAAGGGGTTCAGAGAAGGGGTGTGAGGCCACCCCGAGTACAAATAGAGCCAACCTCTTCCCGGCTTTTTCCACAGCACCCCGGCCCACAGCAGCTTACCCCCCCACACAGCAAGCCCCAGCTTCGATACGGCAAAAATCAACCCCATCAACCATGTCTGCCTCCACATCGACCCCGGCGGCAGGCGCTCGGCTCGTCATCACCAACCAGGAATCAGCTGAGCAGGAGGCGATTCACAAAAATGGAGAGAACAAACAGCTGCATTCGGTCATCAAGAATGTGCCGTTCATCATCGATCTCTCCTTGGAGGGCGACTTCGACAGGAGGGTCATCAATTTCAACAATTGCACCCTCGAGGCCACCCTCATGTACGATACATGCGAGGAAAAAGCCGGTCCACTACGTCTCACGTCGGCCGGTCGAGTACAACTGCACCGTCGACAAGACATCGGCGGGCGACAAGGTCCGGGTCGAGTGCGTTCTCAACGTGCTCTCGTCCCAGCACGAGGGCGCCTACTTCCGCCTGCGCTTCTCGGCCGCCTCGCTCGCTCAACACGTGCTCTCCGATCCGATCAGAGTCGTCTCCAAGCCTCTCCAACTGAAGAAGGTCAAGGAACAGAGGAAGGCTGCCGCCGCCGCCGCTGCCGCCTCCGTCGAGGGCAAGACCACAGCTGCCAGCAAGAAGCGCCCGCTCAGCGACTGCAACTCCTCCATCCAGGACACGCTCGCGCGCATCGAGGCCCAGCAGCAGGCTCAGCAGACCCTCATCTCGAGCCTCTTCCAGACCGTCATGACGCAGCTTCCTCTCACGCCCGCTGCGGCGTCTTCGGCCCCCAACACGCCGGTCTCCTCGCCCTACTACTGCGCCGGCAACCCTGCGACGCCTTCGTCTTCGGCCTCGCCCGCGGCCATCTTCGCACAGCCCGCCACCCCGCCGGCCAAGAGACGCCGCCTCGACAACCCCGCCGCGCAACAAGCACCTGCTGCTGCAGCGACCTCCGAGCTGCAGGCAACCTTCGAGGGCCATCTTCGCGGCCTGATCGACTCGTTCCACGCCATCACCCCGAGCCGTCGCGCGCAGGCCGTGCACTCATCCGTCATGGGTGCCTCTGCCACGCAGGTGGAGAAGCTCTCAGGCCTCGTCGACGTACTCTGCGCCGAGGGCCTCGGTCGCACCGCCCACATCAGCCTCGGCGGTGGCTCGAGCGTGCCCTCGAGGTCGAGCCAGCTGCCCTACCACCCTACCTGGCAGCTGTCCAGCGCGAGCTCGCCCCTCGTCTCCGCCGGTGCCGACGCGAGCGACGACGACGACGACGCAGCGACCGAAACGTGGCTCAGCACGGAGACCTCGCCAACGAGCACGTCCCCCATGTCTCCGGGAGAAGGCCAGTTCTCGTTCAACTCCATCGATGTCCTCTTCGACCCCGCGTCGGCTGAACTCCCAAAGCCGGCGGCCGTAGTCGGCGACTTCGACGACGACGAGCTCTACACCGAGCTCTTCTCCAGCCAGGGCTGGCTACTCGACCAAGGTGAGGCCAGTTCTTCCTTCTAACGGATGCCGCCCTCCGCTGTACAGTATGAGATCGATTTACCCTCGCCCCGAGCAGGTGAATCTGATGGTGGAAAAGGAGGACGAGGAGGAAAAAAGGACGGATCTCAAGAGGAGGAAGAGAGCGGGAGAAGCCGCGGAACTCACACACTACTACTCCTACTGGCAGCAGCAACGCACCCGCTCTCCGCCGGCGGTCCGCCACGCGCTACGCAACGACAACCGATTCGACGACGGACCTCCCAACAACAACAACAACACCGCACGACCACCACCACAACCGTACCACGACCAAGCGGCTATTTCCCCCTTCTATTCCGAGCGGCGAGACTTCGGAGACAAGCTCAACACTCGCCTTTGGCGCCTTCGACCGTCACCACCCACCCGCCGAGCCCGAGCTCCTGCCAGCCCCTCCCCTCTCTCCTCCCCTCTCCCCTACGACGCCCAGCGGCCACCACCACCACCACCGACGATGCCGCTGCTCGGGCGTTCCGAATTTTGTCCTCTCCTCCTGCTACTACTCTCCAACCGATCGCTGACCAGTCACTCTTCTGCGAGGGGACGCGAGGACATGATATGTCTCGAGCGATCCTCCTCAACAGGAAGCAGGACAAGGACGTCATTGCCATCGGCGGTGTCGGCGGCTATCTCTCGCGTCGTCGAGTGTCGCAGCAACAACACGTTGGTACCTCCCCAGCTGCTGTTCCCGGTGGTGTTAACGTCGCCACTGGGCCCAGCGGCGACAGGACACCTTCAGAGCTGCTTCCCGGACCGAGGGTGGATCCACCACACCCCTTTTTGACTGCCCCGGCAACTTGTATAAACCGTAACGTAACCCCACCCCGTTTCCTCCCTTGGATACTTACTTATCCACTCACCGCCTCACTTCCCCTCAGAGCAGTAGTTCGCGTCTCTCTCTCTCTCGTCTTCGCGACCATTTCACTTACTTGGTCCTCTTTTCGCGTTTCCTCCAGTCTCCCAACCACCCCCCGTGCGCCGCCTGTAGTAGCTGCCTCTCCCGTCCACATCCCACCACCTCCCCCACTTGACACGGCGGCGGTCCCCACACCGATTGTACGCCACCATCCCGCTCTCCACCTGGCGCTTGATAGCAGCTGCGGTGTGTAGGAGAAGCTGCGGCGCTGTCGTCTCCGTGGTAGGGTACGTGGATAGCTCCAGGTGCGCGAGCTACACAACACAACCATCACCACTTCGAAGCGCTCGAAGGAGGAACAAACAAACGAAACAAAAGAAGAAGACCGAACGCGACTTCGGCAAAGGGTGGGGCACAACGACGCCAATCCCCAGAGTAGTAGGGAAGAAGAAGAAGAAGAGCACTCAGTGCCACCACCCAAACGAGAAGAACTCCACCAGCGATCGTCTGCACCACCGCGAGCAGGGCAGAAGAAGAATAAAAACCACCGCCAAGTGGCTAACTTCACCACCATCCCACGCCACAGTGTGTTCTCCACCCTTCCTTCCTCACACCGCCTTTGGTGTGCGAGCCAAGACAAAAAACCGGGGCCTTCTTGACTCATCTTTTCCCCACGACACAGAAAGCGGAGCGATGGATGGCGAAGAAGAGGCGACCTGGGCGGACTATTCGTTCGTGGCGCCATTTCTGGAAGTCCGCCGCAGCGGAAACGGGCGGGGCATGTTCGTACGCGACCGTCCAGTGACGCGAGGCGAGGTGCTCGTCGTGTGGACCGGTACTACCCCCCCCTCCCACTCACGGCCGCTCTTTTCCGTTTCTTGGGGTTGTTCATTTTTTGCGCTGGGGGGGGGGCAAACGTGCAGGGCGGGTTGTCTCTTCGGCAGGCCTCGCGGGGGTGCCCGACGATGAGCACAGCTACGTGCTGCAGCTCCACGACGACATCTACATGATACCGTTTGAGTACGGCCGGAGAGAACCCGCAGTACCACGCCCTCCTTTGCCCTCCCTTCGTCGTTCGCCAAGCGGCGTCCCTTTCGCGTTGTGGTTGATCAAGTGGTGACCTCCGTTGTTATCTTTAGGACTTTGTAAACCACTCATGCAATCCGAACGCTGGCCTTGCCGGTGAAGCGATCCTCGTCGCCATGAAGGACATCGGTGTGGACGAGGTGCTCCCCGCTTTCTTTCGTTCTTCTTTCAGGGGTACGCAACCCTGGTGCCCGGCGCCTGGTACTCACCTGCGGCAGTGCAGGAGATCACGTTCGACTACTCCATGGCTGACAGCAGCGAAGTCGATGAGTTCACCTGCAACTGCCACGCTCCGCAATGCCGAGGTTTGCCGCTCTCTTCTCTTGAGCCGAGGCCGCACTCACCACTCCTCGACTCACATCACTTCCATGATCATGCGCCATCCAGGTGTTGTGCGCGGCACCGACTGGAAGCAGCCTGCCCTGTGGGAGAAGTACGGCTCGCATTGGTCTCCCTATCTCTTGCAGAAGATCGCGGTTCTACAGCAGGCACAGCAAGCCACCACCAGCAGCACCGGGGGCAAGGACTAGAAGCACCGCGATACACGGCGCACGTGCCACCACAATGATAAAAATGAAAACGTTTGGTGTCGACGCTGAGCTTGGGCCGGACCAAGCAAATTCGTTTCAGCAAAGGAGCTCTTCCACCACGCACAAACCGTTTGACGCCGACGACCACAACATACGTATGTTCAATAGCCGAGGTGTTCCCACCCGCACCGCGGGGCAGGCTCTTACGCCTCGCCGCGAGAGCGTTTCGGACGACCCCGAGGTCGACGGCTTTTGGAAGAGATGCCTCGCCGCCCACCCCACTTCCAACGTACCCTCCCCCTCCTCTTTCGCGTGAAAAACTATTTTTAAATAATAAAATAATATTTTAATTAATTGTTCGTTGCCGGGACAGGACGAGGTGGAGGTGCGGCATGTGGTGGCGCAATACGACCGTGAGTTTGGACCCGCCTCGGCACTGGACAAGCGGTGCCTCGTTGCCATTCTCGCACAAGGACAGAAAGGTACGTCCCCTTTACTACACACGTGCGTGAGAGCACTGTATCACGCCGGCTGGCGGCCCGCAACTGACCACGGCTGCTGCTGCGGAAACAGAGGGTGACGGGGCCAGTCTCAAAAAGAGCGACTTCGTCTTGTTCCTCTCCCGTTTCGGACCCCTCAAGCTGTGCGTGGGCAAGGTGCGAAGCGTGCTCGCCGAGGGGCGTCTCTGGTTTCACGGGAACGGAGACCGGGACCAGTGCCTGCGGCTGCTCGACAACATGCCCTCCAACGACAAGGTGCCCACTCACACCGCCCGCCCGCCCGCCCGCCCGCCCGCCCGATCAGCACCAACCATCGAAGCACTTGTTTGTTTGTTGAACCTCATGTTGGTTGGTGCGACGTCACACACACTTGTCGTCATCAGGCCTTCCTGGTGCGGTACAGCACTCGATCTCCGGGCGCCTTCTCCATCCACTACGTGAAGGGCGGTACGGGCTCAGCCCTACTGGGAGCTCGACCCGGGGCTCGTCGCGGTGTGCACCACACGTCTAACCTTTTGCGCGGTGGGCTTGGTCTTTTTTTATGGCAGGGCAATCGCGGATCTTCAACGGCATCACCAACAACACCAAGGGCGAGGGAATAAACGTTGCCTCCGACGATCAATCCCTCTCCTACTCTACGTTCGCCAGGTGCGACTTCGCGCTCCTCTCCTCTCTCTCTCTTTCTGCAAGAAGCGGGCTTACATGGTGACGTGCATGTAATGTGGACCCGCCTGTGCAGTTTCATCTCCAAGAACCCGCACCTCTTCGCCCATCCATGCCCCGGACCTGCCACCGATTCCTTCCAGAGGCTGAAGGAGGACATCGCCATCCAGATCGCCCAAGAGGCCAGCGGCAGTACGTTCGCCCCCTATCCCCCTCCAGTCGAATGTTGAGCTCTGCTGTGGACCGACCGTGTCCGTGCAGATGTCTATTGCATCAGCGAAAGCTTTGTGGCCGAGGATGAACCCGAAGAGGAGCCAGACACAGGTACGCGCAGCATCGCGTTGCCAGCCACTCGGACTTGGTGATGATGCTCACGCGCTTGCCTTGGCAGTCGAAGGAAAGGTCAAGGCCGCGCTGGACCGGTGTCTGCAATCGGGCAACCACACGGCAGCGCTGAGCGGCCTCGGCCTGGCCGCATTCCCCGAAGCCGAATCAGCGAGGTGGCTCAAGCTCAACGACACGCTGGACACCTACTGGGTCGACCTCTCGGAGAACAACCTCAGCATCCTGCCCGCCAAGATCAGCAACCTCCTGGCCAGCGCCTCGCTGCTGAACGTGGCGCACAACCACCTGTCCAAGCTGCCGCCCACCTTCTCGCTAATGCGCAACCTGCGCGCGCTCGACCTGTCGCACAACAAGTTCACCGACATCCCCACCGAGCTGTACCGGCTCAAGCAGCTCGAGGAGCTCCGCATGACCAACAACTACCTCATCTACATACCCAACGTCTTCTTCGAGGAGATGGCCGGTCTGCACGTGCTCGACCTCTCCGGGAACAAGATCGTCGAGCTGCCCGCCAACGTGTCTCGGTACTTCCACCACCACCGGCCCCCCCCCCAAGGGTCTCTCTTTCGTTCTCGAGCAGGAAGGTGTTTCCATGACTTACGTTCGTGCGGCGGCTGCAGGTCGTCGAGTCTCTCTGTGTTGAGAGTGGGCAGCAATCAGCTGCGATGGCTTCCGCGCGAGTTGGCACGCAGCCCCGCGCTGGAGGTCCTGGACATCCACAACAACCACATCCACCACCTGCCTCGCGTGCTTGTCAACCTCTTCGAAAAACTCAAGGGTATGTGTCTTCACCTTCATCCCCCCCGTTCGTTCTTTTTTTGTGCGTGGAGCAATCCTGGCATCGTCTAGACCGCCTTCTCTGACGCATAGCACCACCACAGAGCTCAACGTAGCGGACAATGAGCTCGATCTGCCGTTCGAGGTCACCTCCGGAAGCGCGGACAGGATTATCAACTGGATGAAACACCGTACTTCCTCCTCCTCCTTGCCTCACCAACCATTCACCACTCCCGGTACTGATCACCCCACCTCTCTCGTGGTCGCACAGAGGATCAATCGGACGACGAAGAGGACGAAGGCGACCTCGAGACGGACATGGGGTATGACGACGATGACGAGCCCGAGTACGAGGATCTTCTGGAGCCGCCGCCGGAGAACGCGCCCTCAAACTACGCCGAGCCTCCCGAGCTTCCGCCTTTCAAGAAGAACAAGAAGAAGGCCAAGCGAAGTCGGTGGGAGCGTTACCAGGTTCGCCACACGTCTTCTCTCTCTTTCACACCACACACGCACACGAACACACACCACACGGCCTCTGCTTATTTTGATTCTCTCTCTCTCTCTCTTCGCGGACAGAACCAACCGCTCCACAACTACTGCGTGGTCGACAAGGAGGCCATCAGAAGCTCCGGCAGATCCTCTTCCCGCAGCCATTTCCTCGGGTGAGCCCCAACCCTCCTCCACCTCAAGCAGCTTCTTCTTGACTCAAGTGGTGGCGTGGTCCCTTCCTCTGGCCTTCAGACGGGAAAGCCGCGAGCGGAGGCCCACGCTTACTGCGTCTTCGATCGTGACCCTCCCCAACTCAGAGTTTAAAATCGAAGTACGTAGTTATGCTCCAATGGACTCCTCTCCACTGCGGCACCAGCGCTGACGGACATGCGCCGCTAGGCCGGCGACTCGCAAGCGCCCTTCTCGGCGGCGACGTTCTCCATCGACAGCCAGAACGACTGCGTCGAGTACTCCAAGTATTTCATTACCAAAGGTGAGTCAAGTGCGTCCTTGCGTTAACGTGGGCTTCTTCTCGTTCACTAACTCCCTCGCTCTCCGCCTCCTCCTCAGTTCACACCAACTTTGTGGGCGTCGATCCTGTGGTGGGGGCCTTGACCATCACCATCTCCAAGGAAAAGGTAGTCACTGTATACGGGGCCATCCACTCCACCAACCTAACCTTCCCGGCCAGCTCACCAACCCAACAACTTGTGTGCACGCCAAACAGGACACGCCTCATTCGCAGCTCGACGCAAGTGGCGAAGTCTATCGCGCTCTCGTCAGAACAACCGATGTACGCTGCAATTCCCCCCCCCCAGTGCGCCAAAGCTATGCGTGCATTTACATTGGTGGTCATGTTGTGTCCTGCGACACTCGCCAGGAGGATAAGCTGTGGGACATTCCGGCCTCGCTGCTCAAGGAGCGCAAGAAGGTCGCTGTATCAAAGGACCTCTTGAAGGCACTCCTCAAAGTGGTAAGTGCCATTCATAACACCAAATTAACATTGTTGTTTTGTAAGCGATCGCGTGGTGACTGATTCGCGTATCTCACTCCTAAACGGCGCAGACGAAGCCGCACTTGAGCAACGCAAAGATGCGAGTGGTTCGGCAAAAGAACGCACAGGCTCAGTTCCTCAAGCTCGACAACGTGCTTCGGGTGCGCGCATTGCCCTGGCCCCTCCCTCCCTTGCATAGATCCCCTCTTTCTCACACCCGCCCTTTCGGGACTGCACGAGAAGATGCCACAGCATTTCCGCTTCGGAGTCCTGTACGCCAAGGACGGCCAGACATCAGAGCAGGGTACGCGCCATTCTGCCCTGATACTCTTCCCTGTTACATGCGCTCGCCGAATCATTAACCGTTTCCTCTCGCTCGTGCTGTGCACAGAGTTCTACGACAATCGTATGGCTGCTCCCCTCCCCCTCTTTACACTTGTTGTCTCGCTGTTCGCTGATGATGATCTTCTCTCGACCGTTCCGCAGCTGTGGGGAGCCCCGCCTTCAAGCACTTCCTGGACTTTTTGGGCGATCGCATCCGCCTCAAGGGGTGGAGGCGTCATCGGGCCGGACTCGACGTCAAGAGTACGTTGAATTCTCTCGGTTCCCCTCACACACAAACCCTCTCTCTTCTCACCTTCGTGCCCTCTGCCGGTTTCTGTTCCTGCAACCATCACAGCTGACTCCACTGGCACCGAGTCCTACTTCACGACATTCGAGAACTTCGAAGTCATGTTCCACGTCTCTACTCTTTTGCCGCTCCTCCCCAACGACCCCAGCCGAGTACGTGCCTGGCATAATAATTCTCTCTTGGCCCATCCTGCCGGTTGACGGCTGACGTGGTCGCATCCAACATCACTGTACACACAGCTGGAGAGGAAGCGCCACATAGGAAATGATGTGGTGGTGATCATCTTCAAGGATACTCAGCCCGGCAAGCCCTCCTCGCCCCTCCCGATACAGTTCGCCTCTCATATGACCCGTACGCCATTCCTCTCTCCATGGCACCTCTCCTGGTCTTGTCCACACGCACTCATCCCTTCCATCACACAGACGTATACGTGGTGGTCGAGATTGATCACGCCCGTTCCACCGATGAGCAAGTCGTGTACCGGTATGGGGATGTCATCAGTAGACCACGAGTGTGATTGCAGGCTACCCGACTTACTGCCTCTCTCTCTCTCTCTCTTCTCTCTTCTCTTTCTCTCGTCTTTGTCATACACAGAGTTAACATCGCATCCAAGGACGATGTGCCGGACTCGGAGCCTCACCTGCCGTCCCCTCCGGTCTTTGAGGAAAGCGAACTGTTCCGCACCTTGCTCCTCACCAAACGTACATTCACTCATTCGTACCGAAGCTCCTCGCACACAAAGAGCGCTGTGGTCTCATCGATTCCTGTTCTTCTGCTTCTTCAGTGATCAATGCAGAGCGGGCTTCCTACCTGGCGGCGGAGCTCAAGATGGCGAACAAGCGAAAGCGGAAGGCCATCCTCGAGGACCTCGAGAAGGAGGTGTTCCCCAAGACTCTCAAGAAGCGCGACGAAGACAAAACGAAGAGCTACTACCTGCCCATTCCCGTCGATGAGTGGAAGAACACCTGAGGTGTAAATGAGCCAAGGGGTTGGCGACTTCGGACCGATGCACAACGATCCCACTTTTCCAAATATATATCACCATAAGGGGGGTGGTGACTATGATAATGTTGTGGACTCTCCTTGACTGGGATCTCTGTGGGTGGTGGCGATGCGCTATTGGCGGGCGGCTTGCCAGGGAAGAAACCGGGTTATATGTGGGATTGGAAGTCCTGCCCCTGCGGTGTACACTCCTGGCAGCAGCTTGGCCAAGACAACGGCCACACCTCCGCCGAAAGCAAAAGATGAAGCGAGGAAGTCGTGCAGCCCCCAAGGGCGATGTTGCTAAGGTACGCCTCCTGCTGATTAATAATCTCCAAAGGAATGGTGGAATGAGAGATCTCTTTCTCCAAATAAATTGAATTTGCCCCCCCCCCAATTCAACACTGATGCATCAATTCGTTGGTGGATGAGCAGAAGGAGGATACCGGAGAAGGCCACACATCCAAATCGCCTGCTGGCGCTACTGTGCGCAGATCTTCGCGTGCACGCGCAAGCAAGACGTCGTGGTGGGCAGCCGAGAAGGGTGCAGCTGCCAACTACCTGGCCTCCGACTCAGACGACGGCGAGAGCGGACCAGGCGGTGCCACGCCACGCAAGCGAGTCAAGAAGGAGGCTGCCGGTCCTGCTGCAAAAGGTAGCGGCAGCAGCAATCGGCCCGGCCGCAAGCGCAAGGCCGAGGTCAGCGTAGAGGTACTCCTCCCTGCTGCGCCACGTGCTCAACACAACATTCGGGCTCATGCGTGATTCGTGGTGTCATGCTACTCCACAAAAACTCCACGATAGGAACATGGTGACTACTGCGAAGTGTGCGGGAAGGAGGGCAATCTTCTGTGCTGTGACGGATGCGTTCGTGTGTACCACCTCGGCTGTCTCGCGCCGCCACTCAAGAGCGTCCCCAAAGGTATGCCGCGCTCTGCTCCATTGCGAGCCTGACCCGTGAAAATGGCCTCGTGAGTCTCAAGCAACGAGTCTGCGTGTGCAGATGACTGGTTCTGCCCGGTGTGCGCCAGCGAGCGGGCGACACAGCTCGCTGCAGGCACGACAGCCAGGCAGGAAAAGGCCAAGAGAGAGGTCATGAAGGACAGCGAAGAAGAGGAGGAGGACGATGAGGCGGAGCAAGAAGAAGATGACGAAGACGAAGAGAGCGACGAGAGCGATGAGAGCGAAGAAGATGAGCGCGCCATCGACAAGATTCTCTGCATCCGACGCAAGAAGGAGAAAGCCGCCAATGGTGAGGACAAAGCAAAGCTGGAAGCAGGTGAAAAGGGCAAGGAGAAGGGGAAAGATAAGAAAAAGGAAAGTGAGGAAACGCCTAGTAAGAGGCAGATGAAGGACGGGTTCGGAGACTCGATCGAGATTCTGGTCAAGTGGAAGGACCGCGCCTATATTCACAGCGAATGGATCGACGAACGCACCGTACTCCGCCTCGCCAGGATCAAATATCTCAACTTCTTGCGCTCTCTCGTACAGACCACCGCTTTTTACGCTTCGCTTCTCTCTCCCTCTCTCTCGTCTGATAACACACTCACGCACCTCGCCTGCACTTCTAAGATGGAAGAGCAGGGACCCGTGTGGGACGTTGACCTGGATGACCTGATAGAGGCGCAGGAGGACAGCGACGCCATGTACGAGCACGGAATTAAGACGTCATGGACCGTGATCGACCGCATCGTCAAATCGAAGTACGCTCTCCATCATCAACGCCACTCTTCTCGGCCTCGGCATGACGATCTTGCTAATCGTTATTATATGGGTGTGGTGGTCACACGCAGGAAGGAGAGGGATGGAACGCAGTCGTATTTGGTAAAGTGGGACGAGTTGGACTACGACCAGTGTACATGGGAACAGGAAAAGGACATCAAGGACCTGCCTGACTTTCAACAGAAGTTGGAGCTCTTCCGTCAGTTCAACGACCCCGCCAACATGCAGGCAGCCGAGAAAAAGCTCAACGCCGACCAGGCCCAGCAGAAGGCCTTCAAGAAGTATAAGCAGCAGTCCACCTGCCTTGGAGGTACACCCGAGCCCTCTCTCTCTCTCTCCTCTCGTGCACACTTTCTCTGGCCTCCCCATGGTTACTTTAACCGATCCCTCTAAACCAGGAGGTGAGCTGCACGACTACCAGCTCGAAGGTGTGAACTGGCTCCTGTTTTCGTGGCACGAACGCACCAACGTTGTCCTGGCCGACGAAATGGGCCTCGGTACGTGCCCTCTCAGCAGCTGTCCGCGGAGCTTAAAACAATTTCTTTTTGGCTGGACGCTGCTCACCTGTGAGACCACAAACAGGGAAAACGATTCAGTCGCTCGCGTTCATCTCGACGCTGATGTTTGACAAGGGGTGCTGGGGTCCATTCCTCGTTGTGGCCCCGCTGTCCACGCTCGCCAATTGGAAGCGCGAATTCCAGCAATGGGTGCCCAACGTCAACGTCGTACGTTAATCCGCATGGGCTGCTCGTTTATGGTCCACGGCTTTTGTGACGTCGTCTGACCATTTACACGCACGCACGCACGCACGCACGAAAACAGGTGCTGTATCTGGGCTCGCAGGACTCACGGCGAGTGATCCGGGAAACAGAGTTCTTCTTTGAGCCCGACAAGCTGAAGAGTGCGGCGAGCAAGACGCGTGGAAAGGACAAAAAGAAAGAGAGGCAGCCTAAGCCCTACAAGTTCAACGTCCTCATCACGTCCTACGATATGATCCGCATGGACTGTACGCTTTTTCCTCACTGCCGATGTTTGCTAGCTCCGCCACGCCCGGGCGCTATTTGACACCTTTCTGACTTGCCGCATAGTGACCTACTTGCAGCGACCGACGTGGGAGTGTCTTGTGGTGGACGAGGCCCACCGACTCAAGAACAAGAACTCGGTGCTGTTTCAGTCGCTGTCGCAGTTCAAGACCAAGCATCGGGTGCTTCTCACTGGCACACCGCTACAGAACAACCTCTCGGAGTTGTTCCATCTGATGCAGTTCATCGAACCAGAGAGGTACCTGACATCGCACTTGGGGTGGTTCTAATCGTCGCGGTCCTAATCATCATTACTATTATTTTCTCTAGGTTCCCATCAGTGGAAACGTTCGAGAGTGAGTTCCCCAGCCTAGAAAAGGAAGAGCAAGTGAAGAAGCTTCACGCGCTGCTCGCACCGCATATGCTGCGACGCGTGAAGGGCGACGTCAAGCTCAAGATCCCGCCCAAGAGTGAATTCATCATCCGAGTCGAGCTCTCCCGGGTGCAAAAGGAGCTCTATCGCGCAATCCTCACCAAGAATTATCAGGTTTGTGTCACCCGCCGTTTCGCGTGTGTGCGGCCCGCACGCTAAATCCACATCTCGTGGTACTACGTGGTGCAGCTGCTGACTGGCGTGGGCTCCCACGGAGGAGGTCGGGTGTCGCTTCTCAACGTCGTATCACAGCTCCAAAAAGTACGATACTGCGTGCATCGATGTAACACCGGCATTTTAGGAGTCCTTTATTTACCTCCTCCTCCTCCTCCATGACGCTTGATCCCACTAGTGCTGCAACCACCCGTACCTGTTTGAAAGCTACGAGCCCAAGACAGAGACCAGAGAGGAGGCTGTACGACTGATGGTGCAAGCGTCGGGCAAGCTTCTTCTGTTGGACAAGATGTTGACGAAGCTTCACCAGCAGGGCCACCGCGTCCTCATCTTCTCCCAGGTGTGTGTGTGGTGCGCATGAAGGCGTGTTGTTTCAAATGATGATCGTCTGACACCGTAGCTGTATTAATTTGGACAGATGACGCGCTTATTGGATGTGCTGGAGGATTACCTCTACTACAAGAACTATTCCTACGAACGCATCGACGGAAACATCATTGGACGGTACGGCTACACCTCACAGAGACTCTTGTCCACAGGGGAGCCAACGCACGCACGCGCGCGTATCCATTATATGTAAATAACACAAAACACGCTACCAGGGATCGACAAGAGCGAATCGATCGGTTCAACACGGATCACTCCAAGTTTGTGTTCCTTCTGTCGACTCGTGCTGGCGGTCTGGGCATCAATCTGGCAACCGCCGACACCGTGTTCATCTACGACTCGGACTGGAACCCGCACAACGACATTCAGGCCTTCTCGCGTGCACACAGGATCGGGCAGGTATCAAAAGTCATGATCTACCGCCTCGTTACACGGGCCACTGTCGAAGAGACGATCATCCAACGGGCCAAGGAAAAGATGATGCTCGACCACCTGGTGGTGCGCCGCATGGGCTCCAAGGGCGCCCACGCCCTCAAGCAAGCCGAGCTCGACTCCATCCTCCGGTTCGGTTCCGCGGAGCTTTTCAAGGAGGAGCACGAGGCCAAAAAGAAGAGGGAGGCCGAGGCGGAGCAGGCCAAGGCTCAGGGCGGAGAAGGTGTCTCTGCGGCCGAAGAATCAGCCGCAGCCAAGGCTGAGGACGACGCCAACCGCATCATTTACGACGACGCTGCTATCGATGCCCTCCTTGACCGCTCGCAGGTACAGTCCATGCTTCTCGTTACTCGCACCCTCCCAACGAATATCCAAAACGGCAGCTAATGCGTGCACAAATGCATGGCTATGTGTGTGCTTAACACCAGGTGGCAGTGGAGCAAAAGTCGGTGGCGCAGGACGACTACCTTAACTCGTTCAAGGTGGCCTCCTTCAGCGGCCTCAAGACGTCCACTTCTTCCGCTCCGACTCCCACTTCTCAAGAAGCTGTGCAAAACGGTATGTAGACACATGCAGCACCTCTTGTAGCATTGATTGGCGGTTGGTGACGCGATTGCCAACCCGCGGTCTCCTCCCACCCACCCACGAGCAGAGGAGGAAGAGGAGGACTTCTGGGAGAAGCTGTTGGCGTCGCGGTACGAAGAGTTCGCCAAGGAAAACGAAGAAGCCATGGGCAAAGGCCGCCGCACCCGATCTAAACTGGTTCGCTACTCGGAGGTCCAGCAGCTGGAACAAGAGGAATCTGTTAACGTACGCGCGAGCTGGAGCATTACCGCTGCTAGTGAGCTTATTTCTCCCCCTCCCCTGTTTGTTGATCTGACGCGCGCACTCACCACTTTGCATCGTGTCCAGGGCATGGAAGACGAAGACTACAGCGAGTCGTCGAGCGCCGAATCGGAGAAGGACAGCCAGGGCGTCTCCATCCCCCGTGGCCCTGGGCGTCCACGCAAGAAACCCCGCCTGGAAGGACAGCCCCCTAAGTCTTCAACCCGTACGGGTTTCCCTCCCCAAACAACCATTTGCCTCGCCAACGCTCTGACAGGCCTGTTTGGCACACGCATATGCAGGTCTCATGCAGGGAGAAGGCAAGGCCATGAAGGTGTTGGGCTTCAGTGCAAGCGAGCGCGCGGCGTTCCAGAAGATGGTGCTGATGTTCGGGTTGGGCGACGGCACGTGGCGCCACCTCATCCGGGAAAGGGGTGCCCTCAAGCGCAAGAGCTATGCCGAGATCGTTGCCTACGGCAACCTGTACCTCGCCCATTTGCTCGAACCCAAGGATCTCTCGTCCAATCCCAGCACCTACGCCGACGGCGTGCCTAAGGACACCACCGTCAAGCGCAAGGACATACTCACGCGCATTGCCAAGCTCCACCTCATCGAGAGCAAGATGCGCTCTACCGAAGCCCTAGAGGTATCTTCTTCACACACACAACACACACACATACAACACGAACACCCTACCGTTGGCCCTTCCGTCCGTTTTCGAAGTGAGACTGACGCGGTGTGCCGCTTACCTGCTAGGACTTTGACATACGAGATGGCGGGTGGACGGAGTTGCAGCAGCGCTGGCGAGATGATGTGTCGCTGTGGCAGCGACGACACGACTACCTGCTCCTCCAGGCCGTGCTGCAGGAGGGCTACGGCAAGTGGAAAGAGATTATGAAGTACGCGATCCTATTATATCTGTTGTCAACCCCGCGTCCTACACCCATCTTCTTCATTGTTGCTTCTAACGGGCGTTACCACATCAACGTTTAGGGGCGAGGCCGGACCCGAGTTGCTGACTGCTGCTTCGGCCGAGCGCAAGCGACAGCGCGAGGACGGCGTCAGGCTGCGGGGTGGGGTCAAGAAGGAGGCCAACAAAGCCGTTGCAGCGACGGAAGAAGATGAAGAAGAGGCCAACGAACACTCGGACACGGATGAAGACAAGGAAGAAGCTAACGGCGGTGCTCCGGGCAAGCGCGAACGCGAGAAAGTCGACTACATCGCGCTCGGCTTCATGCGATCGCGCCTGCACACCCTCGAGGAGGCCCTGTCCGTCGAGCAGCAGCTCAAGCGTCTGGGGCTCCTCGACGGAAAGGGCACCGCTTCCGCCGACGAATACGAGTTCAGTGACGGCGACGCTCGTCAGGGCAACGGCCAAACACGTGGGACCACCGGTGATAACACGCCAACGCCGACGTCAGTGCCGTCGAGCCCTTTGATCATGTTGGCCACGAGCGACGCCCCTTCGGAGGGCTCGTCGCCAATGATTCTCGACGCTGCCGCGAATTCCAGCGACGAAAGCGATGGTGATGACTACACGCCCACCCGACGTCGCGGTCCTCAACCCGGCAATGGCGATCATGATGCCGCCACAGCAGCGACAGACGGTATGTTCCCCCTAGTTACGACTCGAGGTGGTTTGTCTCTAACAAAACAACTGTACTCACTCCGAATAGATATAGAGCGCAACTTCTTGGACACATTGCAGAATGATCCCAAGTACAAATTCGTGGTGCAGTTCAAAGAGCTTTTCAGGTATCTTCTCACCCCCCCCACAGCGCTCTCCCCTTATGCAACTGCTGGACTTTACTCACCTTTGTATGATCCCAATCATGCCAGCTATGTACATAGGACACGAGAAGGGCTTCTTGCTCCCACTAGCGCGGAGAAGCTGGTGCATGGTACGATTGGGTCGCCCCAGCTCCCCAAAAGAATCGTGTGAGGCCTCTACAAGCGGGTGGTTTGGCCCTGAGATCTCTAACTCACTAGTTGAAAAAATCAACACCTCCTGTACGGCAACAGATCTGTCTTTGCTGGAGGAGCTCATTGGCGAAACGGAGACTGCACTGGATCAGGTCGTGAAGCAAGTCACCAGCGGCAGCCGCGGCTGAAGCGCTCTTGGCCGCGGTCTGGCAGTCGTCTGGGTGGCGAAGAGGGCGGAGGAGCTGCTGGCCTTTTTTGCGGAGGCTTGTCAATTTTTTCCAATCTCTCAATTTAAACGGGAACATGCGAATTTTCGTCAAAATAGTCTCCCAGTTGGGCGGGTGCGAACAGACCAGAACAACCCAGGGCGAGAAGAGAGGAGGGTTGGCCCAAAGAATCAATCGCTCTCTCTTTAGATCAACACACAAAACTTCACACCACCAACCCCAAACACGGCATGAAGACCATTCTGGGAGGTAGCAAGAAAAAAGGCTCCTCCAGAACCAAGGCCTCGTCTTCATCATCGAAGGTACCGCCGTTGGGGGCGATCGTGGCATTGGAAATGCTCAGCCAGTTTCCATGATCGAACACCCATCGTGTATGTGTATGTAATCTCAGGACGCAAAAGCGAAAGCTCTGATTGGAAAGACGATTGAAGTCAAGAATCGACGGTTCAAAGTCAAGGAGATCTTGGGAGAAGGTACCACCACCTTTCGCGCCACCTGCACCTCCCCATAAATAATAGAAAATAAATAAATATATTATGTATATATGTTCATCTTCATCGCTCCCAGCGGTTCGCCCCCGCTAGCAGCTGGTCGCTGCGCCCTCTCACCGTGCTTGCGATCATTGTGTCTTGTTGTTCTTTTTGGTGTTGGTGTGGTGTACCAAAGGTGGCTACTCAAACGTGTACCGGGTCGTGGAGGAGGGCTCCAACAATGTGTTCGCCCTGAAGCGCATGCTGGTCAGTGTCGATGAAATGGACCTCGTCAAGCGCGAGGTTTCACTCATGGTACGTTGCAACTGTTGTGAGTCTTGGCCACGGCTTGCTCTCTCGCTCTGTATATCACTTTGGGGCTTGGCCTCTGGCGCGCCGATGTAACACCACCAACACCAACAGAAAAGCATACCTCCCCACCGCAATCTGGTGCATTTCGAGTGTGCCAACGTGACAACCAGCGCGGAGCAGCGAAAAGGAGAAGACCTTATGGAGGCCAACATCATCATGGAATACGCCGATGGTGCTCGTCACCCCTCCCTTCTCCCATCACCACGCTCCATTTACAGGGAGCTTTCTCTCGCGGCGTTGTTGGCCAGCTCTCCTCTAACACGCGTGTGCTGTGGTGTGTGTGATGTTTGCAGTGCGTTTGTTCGATGTGATGGAGGCACGCCACACAGAGGGCAAGTACTTCACGGAGGCCGAACTTATTGCCATCATGGTAGACGTGTGCGAAGGCGTGGCGGTTCTTCACCAGCATCGACCACCCATTGCGCACAGGGATATCAAAGTCGAGAACGTGCTGTTGGGCAACGATGGAGCCTACAAGCTGTGCGACTTTGGTAGCGCCACATCGGTGACGCACCACCCCAAGACGGCGGCCGAGCGCGATGCGGCGGAGGCGGACATTGAGCGTAACACCACGGTAAGCAGAAAGCTACACCTCTCCTGAAGTCTCATTCAGCCTTTACTAAGACTGTATTTATACCTCCTCAGATGGTGTACCGAGCGCCGGAGATGCTGGACCTCTACGCTGCGAAGCCCATTGACGAAAAGGCCGACATTTGGGTATGCGCTCAACAACGGTTCGAGCTCTCTTTCATCAACTGGTCACTGATGCACATGAATGTAAACATGCGTGCGTGCGTGGTGCCTCTCTTTAGGCTCTGGGTTGCATGCTCTACAAGATGTGTTTCTTCGAGGACGCGTTCAGCATAGGCGGACGCTTAGCTATCCTCCAAGCCAACTTCTCCTTTCCTCTCGCACCCAAATACTCACCGGAGCTCAACGAATGCATCAGTACGTGGTGACCTCTTTTTGTGTCTCTCTCTCTTTGTGAACTGGTGCGGACTGACCTGATGGGAATTTTGTGCGGATGGTGTTGGCTAGAATACATGCTGGAGTTGAATGCGGAGGAACGGCCTTCCATAACGGCCGTCATCCGGCGGCTACAGAGACTCAAAGCCGGTCTGGGGCAGGATACGCCGGGAAAGCACCGACGATCGCGAACGTGGGGCGGGTCACAGGACAACCTCCACATCGACGATATACCGCCCGCGGCTGCCAATGTACGGATCTTCCTCGCCTAGCAAACGGCTTTCCAACCTTATGTTGGGGTGTTAATTACCCTCTATCAAATTGCTCAGTAGCTGATACACACGTTGTTCCTCGCTCGTTTTCTCTTGCATCCCAGGCCGAAGACAAAGCCACCTCGCTACACTCCTCCGGAGCTTCCAGCAACAGAGGTACACATGATGCATTCTTCCTCCCGCTCTCACCACAAGCAGCGAAAAAACAAAAAGTTAAAAAATTAATCGTGCACTCTAGAGCGGCGAAAGGTACCGGTCGTTCCGAGGAAGACAAGCAGCGACCTCGACACATCTATAGCGGCTAGCCCTCCCTCGCCAGCTACGGAACATAAATCGAGCCTACGCGACTCGCGGCGGCCGAGGCGTGACTCTGGCCACGGCCGACGGGAACTGCATTTCGACGGCCCGACGGCTGGAAGTGGTGCGACCAACGGCGGTATCGATCCGAATCCCAACATTCGGGGGAGTCCCGTCTCGGATCGCGCCTTCGCCTTTCCAGCACCACCCAGCCACCGAAAGGGGTCGATTAGTGCCTCGGCGTCTCCGTTGCTGATGCCTGACACGTTCCCATCGCCGGTGCTGTCGCCTTCGTCGGCTCTCAAGCCCGGCCAGCTGATACCGGGCGGATCGCCCATGATGGGCATGATGTCGATCACTCCACTCGGTAGTGGCGGCACGGCTAGCCTACCGCACGGCCTTGGTGGACTCAGCATGGTGCCACTCGGTAGCGGTGGCGGCAGTCCAAGCGGAGGGCTCACCCTTACCGCGCTGCCCAGCGGCGGACATCAAGGCGGCCTCACGATGACACCACTAGCCAGCGGCAACCAAGGCGGCCTCACTATCGCCCCCATCCCCAGCGGCGGCGGCGGCGGCGGCGGGCTCACCATGACCCCGCTGGCGAGTGGCGGGAATCCAGGCGCTGGGCTTACTAGCGGGGGCGCCAGCCACCACGGCGGCCTGACTCTCAGCCCTCTGGCGAGCGGCGGTGGCAATCAGGGCCAGCAGGGTGGCCTCACGATGACTGCTCTGGCCAGCGGGGGCAACCACGGCGGCGGCGGCGTCGGTCTCACGATGACACCACTCGTCAGCGGTGGCGGCGGCGGCCTTACCATGACTCCGCTGGCCAGCGGCGGAAATCAAGGCGGCCTCACGATGACACCACTAGCCAGCGGCGGCCTCACCATGACTGCTCTGGCCAGCGGCGGAAACCAAGGCGGCCTCACTCTCGCTCAGCGCAACAGTGGCGGCCTCTCCATGAATCCGCTGACCAGCGGCGGGGGCAACCAAGGCCACGGAGGTCTCACGATGGCGCCGCTGACCAGCGGCGGGAAGACTGGCATACCCACACCTTACTCGTCGGCGGCAAGCAACGGCTACGGAGGACACAGCCTATCACCGCTGGCCAGCGGCGATGGCGCGATGGGTGGGATGAGCATCAAGCCGCTCGCCAGCGGCGGCACCAGCCGCGGCCCAACGACACCAACGCGCGCTGGTGCGATCAGCAAGAGCAGCGGCGGAAGCGGAAGCGGCGGCGGCGGCGGCGGCGGCGAGATGTCGATCATTCCTACGATCAGCGGCTCCTCGCGGGAGAAGGAGGGCAAGGGCGAGATCATCACGTTCGAGGCCATGATGAAGCTCATCGATCGAGAGCGCGAGGAGAAAGACAAGCGCAGCCATTCCGCCGACAGCATCGAGAGCGACATGCGCGGCGAAGGCCAAGAACAAGGCGGCCGCAAGCCTACCACCGGGTCCAGCAAGAAGAAAAAGAACAAGAAGACTAGGCGCGAGATCCTACCAGGGTATGTGCCCCTCCCCTCTCTCCTTAACGCCCTTGCGTGGTCTCTTCTATTCTGTAAAATGGGATGGCGACGCGACTAATGCTCACTTGCTGTTGGTCGGCGGTGTGCAGGGGCACGATAAGCAGCAGCGACGAGGACGGCTTGAACATGCTCGCTTCAGGTGAACACGACTTTGCGTCCGAGGGCAGCAAGTCAGAGCAGACCAAGCTCAAGAAGCTGCGTAAGTCTCTCCAGATGAAGGAGAAAGGCTTCAAGGAGATTCGACCGAAGGAAAGCGTCGACGATACCGCCACCACCGGCGGCACCAAGGAGAAAAAGGCCAACCGCAAGAGCAAGCTTTTCGGGAAGCTCGGCATCGAATACGCAGGCGAAGGGCCGATCGACACGGACGCCGGCAGCCACCCCGACGACGAGATGTCTCCGTTCGGCGTTGCCTCGTCACCGACCATCCCACTTTCCGTCGCTCTGGCCAGCACAAGCAAGGAGTCCAAGCAGGCGCAATTCATGAACGCCGACATTCCCCTCCACCAATCGTTCCTCAAGCACAGTACGCCTCTCCTCCGCTCGTACCTCGCTCTCTTCTGTGCGCCACCGGGGCACTTCGCGACAAACACCACTGACAGGCATCGTGACACATGCGTTTGCTAGGTTTTGATCTCGACTTTGTCTATACGGCTGAATATCTGGCGCGCAAGGCCCTGGCTCACGGGCATCGCATGTGGGCTCTCGCTCCGGCAGACAATATCCTTTACCCCCTCCCCCCCAAACCCTCATTCTTTGATCAACGCGAGTGTGCTGCTGATTCGTTCCTTGGTAATTCCTTAACATTTGCCCACCACCCATTGAGGACGTCAAGATATGGGCCGCCAACGGTGTCACGGATAGCTACTTCGCGCATATCAAGAGTCGCAAGCTGGGCAACTCCTACGAGGAGTGCCTACGGTACGCTCAGCTCCTCTCCCGTTCTGACCCACGCGTATGCGCGAACTGTGTTGGTGGTGGCACTCACTTGAGCGACCTCATTCCCCTGCTGCAGTTGTCTGTTGAGTCTCTTCAAGATGCTTCAGGAGGGCTCGCCGTGCGTCCTTCTCGAGTGCTACCAGCACCTGGCGTGGCTTCAAAACTTGCGAAAGACCGCCAAGTATGTTGCGCCTCCCCCCCCAACGTTTGGGACTCTCAGGTGGTAGTCCTCGTGGATTGACCCCTTCGAGCCTCTCTCCTTAACTCCCTCACAACACAGGATGCAGGAAAAGGCGCAGCTGGTGCAGCTGATGTGCACGTTTCTGGTGAAGAAGATCGAATTCCATCGGCATCACCCGCAGTTTGAGGGCACCTACTCCCTGCAAACTCACCACGCCCAGAAGCGACAGAGGAGCGAGCAGTACGCCGTCGACCAAGCGGGTTCCTTCCAGTACGCATCTCTGCGACCGCGGGTGCAACCCATTACTAAGGTGCATTTTTGCATGGGTCCTGACTCTGGGGGATGATGGTCAACGTCAACAGAGAGCTGGAAGACTTGCTCGGCGTGCAGCAGGCTCTGATGGACATTCCCAACCTCATCCTGATGCAACTCGACACATACAAAGATGACCTCGCGCTTGAGACGCTGCCTCCGCTCGTTGCGGAGTCGCACGCAATTCTCTCCATGTCTACCTATCTGCTGGTCAAGCTCAAGGTCTTCTGCTTAGGTATATCAGCCCCTTCTTCGTTCTTTAACCGCTTTGGCGGTGGCGTGGGTGACGGTTCTCGCGTCTGACTCCACGCAATCGCCAGACAAGGACAAGTCGGGTACCTTTCAAGAGCTCAAGGGCAGCTACAAGGCACTCTACCATGTGCTCTCACGATTCTACTCGCAAATTCTTCACTACACGAACATGTCGCCAAGCTTGGTGCCCGTTCTGCCTCCGGTTCGTACACTCTCCCTCCCCTTCTCCTTCTCCTTCTCCATGCCATATTCGACCATTCCGCTAACTCTTACCATGCCGCGTGTACTGTTTGTACAGAAGCAGAAGATCAGTGCTCTGCTGAACGTGCAGGCACTGCAGTACCCGGTGTCGCACAACCCGCACTTTGCGCAGGTGCGCCTGAAGACGCTCAGCCGAGAGATACCCAAGGTGGCGGGTCAGATGCAGCACCACGACAAAGAACGAGAGAAGAAGGAGCGGAGGGAGCGCGAGAAGAGGGAGAAAGACGAAAAGAAGCGGGAGAAGGAGCGATCGAAGCTAGAGAAGAAGCGGGAGAAGGGGATGAAGAAGGGCATGCGACTGCCCGGCAAGAAGATCGGCAAGGCGGACCTGAAGAAGGAGCTCAAGCGAGAGATGCAGAAGGAGTGGGAGGAGGAGCTCGAACGGGAATCAGTTCGTGGGCGGGACACACGCCCTTCTGTAGCCGAGGCGTCATCGATGATCCCGGCCTCGCCCCCAACAGCGGACGCTACCACCACCAGTAGCAACGTCGAACCGCTGCACAGCTCGGTTAAGCGACCCGTTGCGCGCCGCCGGCTGGAGCCCAGGTTTGCCCCCTCCCTCTCAATGATCCGTATGGCACCATGCGCCATTGGCACACACCTGCACTCACACATCTCAACGCCTGCAGTATGAGCAGTGGCGCTTTCCAGCTACCTCATCAGCCGCAGCATCCCCCGCATGTGCACATCCTGGGCGAGGAAGGTCGGACGGTGTCGCTGGTGGAAGTGCCCGCCATCACGCTGCAGCCGGAACCGGAGCCGCACCACAGCCCACTTAAGAGGACACACAGCAGAAGCAAGTCCTACGCTGGCCACGAGAAAGTACAGATCAACGAGGTAAACCTACCCGCGTTCTCTCCTCGCATAGTCGGGTGGCGTGCCGAGCTCAGCCAGATCTAGCTCTAAGATCTACTTTCACGCGGCTCACCTTTGTTCGCTTTCTTCCCTGCGTTTATTTAGTTCGATGTATCGCGGCTGATATCGCAGCAACATCCCGTCTACGCCAACGCCTCGTGGAATCCCTTCTCGTCGTAGGGTCTCGAAGAGACGAAACGGAAAAACAAAAATAATTAATTTCCTCAACCCAAACATGCTATGGGAAGCGAGGAAAGAGAAAAATGTGCGAAGGAGGAAGAGAAGGAGGAGGTGGTCTTGCGTGAACCCTTTCTGGACCATTTCGCACACGAAGGGAGGAAAACCAGCAATTTCTTTTCACTCACTTCATATTTTTTTGGTCGAAGCTTCTGTAGACTAGGAGGAACGACGATATGCTGCTGGGCGACGAGGAGGACGTGGCGGTGACCTTCGTGGGCGAGTTTCACGTGAGCGAGCTGGGCGACACCGTGTTCAGCGGCAGCAACATCGAGCTCGCCGTCGAGGACCGACTCCTGCTGACCCACGCGCACCTGAGCCTGCAGCGGGGCCACCGGTACGGGCTGATCGGCGAGAACGGGGCGGGGAAGACCACCCTGCTGCAGGCGCTGCGTGCCCAGATCGCGCAGGAGGACGCCAGCTTCAGCGTGCAGTACGTCGGCCAGACCGACGCCGAGCGCAACGCCGCGTGCGAGCAGTCGGTGCGCGAGTACTGCACGTGCGGCAACGCCAGGCGCGCCGCTCTGCTGGGCGAGCTCGAGGAGCTGGAGGCCTCTC